GCATATCCTTTGGGTAGTTGTAGATATTAAATTGTCAAAATCTCTCCATGATTTTGAAACGTTATTTGTGTGTATTTTAATGAAGAATCCAATTTTTAAAAAAATAGAAATATATAGAACAAAAAATTAAAAATCTTCTTCCTCAAGAACCACATGGGCCATGGATAGCTGAAAAGGCTGTGGAAATTTTTGGGATAATGTAGCATATTAATTTTTTTTAATCATAAAGCAACCATTTCAGGGCCACATGTACTGGTATTAAAAGTTTTACATAGAAATATATAGGAAAAATCTTTAAAATTTCTTCTTTTAAGAACCACTGGGCCACATAAATTTTAGGCTTTATTTTTTTTTATGAAACTTATGTGGAAGTTACAATTTCCAATGGTTTTATAATGTAAATTCTAAATTGTTCAAATCATGACCCCCGGGTTTCGGAAATGATTCCTAAGGGGCCATATTTTTTGAAAATTAAGAAATTAATAAATTTAGCGATTTCTCCCTAAAAACTGGTCATTTCCATAGTAATTTTATATTAGCGAAAGTTTTAGATAAAATGAAATATATATAATGATATTTTTAAAATTTTTTTGCGATAATGAAAATTTCCTCGCTAAAATTTCTACTGGGCCAGAAAAGCTAGAAATTTTAGCGAGGATTTAATTTTGGCATATAGCGTAGATTGCTAAATTGTTCAAATTTGACATCTCGCTAAAAATTGATTGCGTTTTATTTGTAATAGGTTCTTTAATGAACATTTTTAAATTGAAATAACATCTCGCTAAAAATATATAGTTTTTAAGGACAAATCGCTAAATTTGCGTCTCGCTAAAATTTCCACTTATACGGTATATTTTTTTAGCGATTAGAATCGGACCAAGCGGCTTTAAATATTAGCGAGGTCTTGTTCAAATTCATATTCGGGGAGGAAGTTCAATTTCTGGAGGAGTCTAGAAAAAAAAATTTTGCAAACAAATTGAAAGATCTTTTTAGAGGAAGGAAACAGAATGGGGAATACACTACATTAAATTTCTTCATGACAGCGTCCAAACCCACAGGCCATGAAGAGTAAAGGAATTTTGGGGATAAACTGAAAGTTAACGTTAACGTTTTGTCACACCAACAAAATTTGCCAGATATTTCAATCTTTGACTTGTTTCATTTCCCAAACTTAGAAAAACATCTATCAGAAAGAAAAAAAAGCAAGTACAGCAAATCGTAGGATCTGCCATATTCCAGTAATGGAAAGGGTCATACTCCAAAATGTGTTCGAAAAACAATTAGAAATTGAATGAAAATGTTACGGAGGTGTGTTTTTCTTAATTAAAAGAGAATATTTTAGCTAAATCATAAAGACTAAGTCATGGAAAAGAGTTTCTTGTTTCTTTCCGAGCCCCAATGACATTATTTATTGAACGCCCCTCGTATAAAAATTATGTGTACAATTTATTGCTTTTTTTTTTAAAAATTCTATATCCTTTAAGGCAAGCAGAACTGAACTCGCTTTATATTCCTTTTTTAGTTCGATGTCCGACAGCTTTTGAGTTTGCAAGATTCTTGGATGACATCGAAGGTACTAGTAATTCCAGTGGAATAAACAGAAATAATTTAGGTACTCCGACATTCTTTCGCTCTCGCTCTCTCTCTCCCCCTCTCTCTCTGTGTATCATTTATAGTGTATTTTATTTGTAGAAGAATTTCGCCAACGGATCAAGGAGCTGGAAGACCAAGTAGAGTTACTGCGCCTGGCGATGTCGGCACATGATGTCCTTGATCTCAGAATCTGAGTTTTATTTTAAAAAAACTTATTTCGACAAAAGCATTCCCGGTTCATTAACTTTTTATTTTATATAGACAATTCATTACATGCATACATTATAAATATGTATTTTTTTATTTGTATATTACCATGATAATCGTCAGTTGCTTTATATTTTTCTTTCTAATTTTCTTTATTAAGTTTTGGTCACTATGGTACACTTATGCATATTTGTAAAACAGTTACAGAAATATCTTTACATTTTACATAGAAGGAATTTAGCGAAATTCTACCTTTCGGCTGATCTACTCCGATGATATTCAACAGAAAAGGCATAAACAACAAATGGTTCATGTCATTCTTTCTCCTGATTTAAATCTAATTTTCATATTGTTTAAGTAAAAAAGAAAAGTAATCCTTATTTTAATATTAGATTTCGTAACAAGTACATGTGTAAATTACTAAATTATAAAGAGCCAGTGTTTGTTCGTAATGGAACTCAGTTTTAGTGTAGCGTCATACACTGAAAGAGATACGAATGACACTCTACATACTGACGGCAAACGTTATAATTTTCTTATTCAAACTTTTCATGAACATTTTCTTTTTAATTGAATTCGTTGATGCATAAAAATTTTAGAAAACATGCGTTTTATTACTTAATCAGCAGTAATTAAAAGCGGTTAAACTAGTACTTTGTTATAAATATTAAAACCTAAAACGGACATCTGTTTTCGTAAAATCGCGATTAAAAACCAAAATGATATATTTTTTTTAATAATTAAGGAAAACCTCATTTACATACCAAATAATTTGTAAAAATTCTCAATATACCACTGTTTTTATGTAATAAATATATTTTTAACTAGGTAATTTGTTTTTTTACAATATTAAAAAAGATTAATTCATCCCCTACTTAGATATATCTGTATTTTGTACATTTTAAGGGCTGCATTTTTATTCCAGAGAAGTTTTATATAATTTTCAAACCTTTATTTCCGACATTTTTTTAAGGATTGTTTAAAATCCACATTTTTTTGTTTTCATTTCCTGTGAAATTTTTCATAACCTTTAGTAACAGATGCAAAGAACACTATATATGAAAAATTTATGTGGAATGTGACATGTATATAAATAAATCATTGAAATCCAATTTTTGGCAGTGTGCAAATTTATCAATGAAACCCTTTGGTAAAATGTAGTAACTACCTGTATTAAAGTTTGAGAGATTGACTCAATGTTTACTGAATTAATCTGAAAGACGTTAAGAAAAAAAGTGAAGTTCTGTGTTGAGGTTAAGAAATGGCTATACCTGTGTAAAAACAGATTGAGAACATCAAGTGTCTTGGACATAAGTTTTTTGCAAGCAGGGGGACATTTATTTTAGGCACATTAAATGAGTAAAAAAAACTATGTTCATTGAATTCTTTTAGATTTTCAAATGTCAATTTGAATACATTTCAAAGTTTATGAAAAAATGATTTTTTTTTTTCGTTTATCAAAAAATTTATGGATTTTAGAAAATAACACGAGAAAAAAAGTCTTACAAGAATAAGCACTTTTATATCTTGATTCTAGAACACAAAATAAATAGATTTATTAGGGGGAAACATTGAAATAGCTGGATTTTAAAATGAACATTATGAAAATTGATTTAATTCACTTATTTTTCTTTAAAATATTAGTTAAAAAAGTCTCCTTTATAATACTAAAAAAATTAAATATACCAGTCCTCTATTCCAACAGGTATTCATTAATAATTGTCGATCATTGTTTACATAGTGGTTATATGTTTTCAGAGTTAATTATTTGTTTCTAAAGACAAAAAATATACCTTTTCCCACATGAAATCTTTTTCCTACCTGATTTTCAAAAAGTGGGAATAGGTAGAATGAACCATGCTGGGTAATGTTGGACTGCTACCATTACCCTCCCCCTCCTCCGCCTTCTAAACAAAGGGTCTTCGTTAGTTTCAAGAATTATTCTTCTAGACGATATTTAAAATATGCCTAATACGAAAAATAAAACTTATTCAAAGAAGTAATTTTTTTTAATCCTATATATGAAATGTGAATTGTAGGTATAATACCACGAACATGTAATACTTTAAACAATATTTTTACGGAAAATGAAAGCAATAAATGATAAGTATATGGACAGGAGGCCGATGGGCCACATTGCTCACCTGAGCAACTTTGCCCTTTTAAAACCCCCTTCGTGGTTTATTAAGCTGTGCGTCGTTTGTCGTCCATTTTAAGGTCTAAATTTAATTTTATGGTCACTCCTCTTCTGGGGCTGAGGGGTGGGGCAAAAACCGGCCGACTAAAAATTAATGCAATCTTTAAAAATCTTCACTTCTGGACGTCACGGAGTCAAACTGTTGGTGAAATTCACGACCCCAGGGTCACGGGTTCTGGTGCTAGGGTGGTGCTTTGTTGAATATATATACAAAGTATTGAAATTGCATTATTTCTTTAAAAAAAATCTTCTCTGCTCCGGGGTATTAAGCCAATGAACTTTGTACAAAGTTATGATGAGCAAGGGTGCCCCTTCCAAAATTATGAATTTCGTGGCCCCCAGGGTCAGGGGTTCTGGTGTTGGGATGGGAGTCTTGATTAAATAGTGAAAATGCATCGATTCTTTTAAAAATCTTCTCTGCTCCTGGGTACAAAACCAATGAACCATATACATAGTTATGGTGAGCAAGGGTGCCTCTTTCATAATTACGAATACCATGACCACTTGTTCAGGGTTTTGATACCGTATTATTAATCCACTAAATGTTTAACCCAGGGTTATGAAGTTCCACTGTTGATTAAAAATGCATCTTTTTTTTTTTTTGAAAAACTTCTCTTCTGCTCCTTGGATGCCGATGAGCTAGTATAACATTATGATGAGGATTTCACAATTATACAATTTTATTAAAGTTCAATTTCACAATTTTCGAAGAGGCACCCTCTTGGTTCTTGTGGGGCGGAGCATTACTATGGATTCTACAATATCCTTATCAGTAGAATTTTTTGCAAAACACAGCTTCTTGTCAATAGCATAGTAAGAAGTGTTCATTGGTCACCAAACTTCTAGCTTGTGTAGATATAATTTCATGGGTAATGTTTTAAAAGAAAGATAACTCTTCTATTATCAATGTATGTGAATACTGATGTTTGCAAGGATGTAGGTTACCCACAAAATCAATGAACACTCCCCCTCATCTTCTTCACAAAAAAAAAGAAAATACAACTTTATCATTTCATGAAATTTTTAATTGCCTGTTCACTATTTATCATGATGAACTAAAAGTAACTGTATGACAATTGATAAAAAGATTAATTTCTTGATAGGGTGAACTCTGGGTAACAAACAACAATGTCCAGACATCAAAATCAGATTGTCCTGTTTCCATGCATATTGGGGGTTTTACATGTACAATGTTACATCCCTGTAATATTACACCACATTTAAATGACTCAAGAAAAAGCATAAAAACAATACAATCTATTGAGATGCCTGAGTACAGATAATGAATCGCTAACAAGTCTCCAATGTCAAAATAAAACCTGTCATTTGATATCACATTCTCCATGACCACATGTGTACCTTCCTTACACCCTGTTGTGCATGATAAAGTGAGACAAAAAAAATGAAGAAAAGCTCCCTTCCTGAGTGGAATTCATGTGAACTTGCAGATTAATTTAAGTACCGCTTCAAATAAGCTCCTGTACAAAACTATTCTCAGGTACCAACAACTAATTTTTATTTCCTCTAAAAAATAACTTAAGTAGAAACAAATTGTACATATTAAAGATGTGGCTGAAATAAATCCTTCTTGTCTTTATTTTGTTTTGTTTTTTTTTATTTACAATTTTTTTTTCATAAGAAAAGAAGCCTTTTTAAAAAAAATGCATTTCATGCAAAAAAAATCACTTATCATACAAAAATACTGTCAAGAGAACTTAATTCATCATTATTGGTCCAAGAATTGTAACAAAGATCTGAACTTTAAAATAAACTGCAAGGTTAATCAAGAAGTTGTCACACAGTGGCATTTGCTGAAAGTAAAATCAAAATGAACAATCAATCAACAAATTCACCTCTGAAAAATTGCATGTGCAAGGGATGCATATAAAACTGGAAAAATGACTTTTCTTGGCACAATTGCTTGGTACATGTACATGGTGATCTTGTCTACAACACTGACTGCAAACCAGCCTGTTTTGAAAACAGAAAAGCTGAGAATCTCCAGAGAAAGAAGGTAGAAAATTAAAATATCCATCCAAAAAAGTGCTCATCATAATTCAACCTTAACCTTTAACATATCAATTGTTTAATTTATAAATAGAGGGTGGCTATTTTATGTTACATGGACACAACTTCTACTTGTTGTTTTATCAAATAATAATAAAAAAAATTGTTCTTTGTTAATTAGTTTGATTAATATAAAATGATATACAACAAAACAGGCATACTAACAAAGAAATATTGTTTGACAAGAGTGCAAATACTCCACATCCAAGTGTATATTAACAGTTACACGGAAAAACAGAAAGGAAACTGTAGTTTTGTCTAGATTATAATGCAAGTATTCCATCCCTGCAGAATACTGCTTACTACTACTTCTACAAATTTAATCTCATTTGTACTTTTTTATCAAATTTTGTCCATGAAAATAAGAAGAAAAAAATGTGACCGTCACTGACTGATACAAAACATTATGCTTGAAATACCATCTCTTATATTCAGTAAGCATGGATATGCCAAAGCTATATTTTTTTCCTAGGTATTATGAAGATTAAAACTCTTTCATGGAAGCATTTAGCAAACACATGCAGACATGATTAAAAAACTGATTTTTAAAAGAACACTGCCTGTATCATTTGTTCACAATTTTTACCTTTGGAAAGTAAATTGCACTAGACAACTGACACTAAGAGGGATGGCACTATCAAGAGATATCACAGTTTACAAGCCCAAGCATTTCTACTTATACCTCATCACCGACATTAGAACTGTTACTGAATCTTACTTAATTTCACTGACAGACCTTATCCTACTTTACTTTCTGGACATACCAGAATCAGTACATCCAGTTCTGATTTGAGTGAGCAGGTGAGGAGCAATTACTATCCATTTCAGTGCCCATCCCTCAAAGTTCATTACATATGCACTCACACACACACACTATTCACTTGTTTTTTCATCATTTACACAGTCTTAAATATACATACTTGTGTACACATTATCAGCCCCGCTTTCTGCGTGGGCTCCCATTTATTTTATCATACAAATACTTTATATGTTCTTTACACATTTGTACAAAATAAAAATCTGTTAATGCGATTGTTATATAAATTTTTTACCACAGACAAGTTAATATCTATAATCTGTCCAATCTGTCCACCGACACTCTCTCTCCCACACCTTTGGGAATCTGGCCCATCCCGACGTGCCCCGCTTCATGTTCCCCCAAACTAATCGGTCAACATTCCAGCACTTTAACATGGCATCACAGTTTAAGTTCATTGGCAATTTTTGAAGCAATGTTCTTAAACCCTATAGAGGTCCCTGAAATCCGTTTGAATCGCACCCCATTGAGGGAGAGTCTCGGAAGCTTACACACCTCCATTTCCCATTGCACTAAGCTGTCCGTATTCGGGTCCCCGTGTACACACAGTAACAGAAACTTCTCCCGCTGTTCATAATCACAGTTGTTGGCATCTAACACTTTCCGGATTTCCTTCATCATGTCATTAGGGTCCATAGAACTCGTGGTTTTCATGCTCCACGTGAATCTCAGTGACCTGGGCTTGACCATGGGGTTGTCGGACTGTCCCTCTGCAACTGACCTGCGGAACAATTTGCTGAAAATTACAACAATGTAATACTTAATGTATGGCTATCCCTCCAACACTGGCACTTGATGACAGAATTCAATTAGTAAAGAGAGTCACAAAAGATCAAATGCTTCATGCAGCACATCCAAAAAGTCAAATTCAGGGATAATTTTCTCTGCTATGATATCATCATCAATATGTCCGATAATGTAATTTGTACCATGCAATTGGTAAATTTTTGAGTAGCGTCATTTTCATGCATCTGAATACATATGATTTTAGTACAAGTATGGTCTAGATACACATTCTAAAATTTTCAGATATATAAAAAGTATTTTATAAGGAGAATTTTCATTTATTAGCGGTGTTAATCTTTGTGTCCTCTGATCAAAATAAATTAAGGAAACCAAAAAGATTCACAATAAAAAGCCATGAAGAAATTGTGAAAATTAATTTAGTGAAATGAGATAAATATCTTCCACCTGATATAAAGGAAGTATGGATAAGCAGACTGAAAATACAGCTGACTCCCATTATCCCAGAATCAGAAAGATCTACAAGGTGAATAATTCTATCCTAATCATCTCCCAGTAAGATCCCTTTGACCTAATTCATAGATTTTACACTTCTGTTTTTAAAATTAAAGTAGAGATAGTATGTATACACTACATAAATATGCAGCAAATATAGAATTACCTTAATAATAACTGTGCTGTTTCTATTGTTTCAATCATCAGTTCATTGCTTCAGTCAATTTATAAAAAATGACCCGCCCCCCCTAAATTTTTATTATAAAAGTATCTGATTTATCATAGTAGGCCTGTAAGAAGAAACTTCAGAACAACAAACATGCAAACTCCTGTCTTGTGTTACAATTATAACGAAAAAAAAAACAGCAGGTAAATGAACCCATTCCATTTCTACAGAGTCCAGTGAATTTTCCGATCTAAGAATCAGCTGTATGAAATCTGATTAGAATGTGTGCTCTGAATATATATGTACTTCAGTATCTAAGGTCACAGTGTTGTGAGGGTAGCCAAGATAAAAAAGATGTTAGTTTATACTTTATATTTAAAGATCAAACTGAATACCATGACAATATATATAGAAAAAAAATAAAATACAACAATTATACATGGTTTCTATCAGTCTGCCAATAGTTTAATATAAATTCCAATCATCAGTTTGGCAGAGTTTGAATTTCTTTCTCAAGATCACAATAATAAATAATATAGGTACTTGTGAGTGGAAACGTACAGTTCACGACTCAATGACTTTTGATCCACCTTCTCCCCACTCAAAGTTGTGTTTTCCCTGAAATATGATTGGACCAATGTAGAATACATAGAGAGAGAGAATTTCATTTTCGTTTATCTCATAAATCAATTCTTCACACTGCAGCAACATAATTAAAAGCTAAAGATAAAAGAAGGTGAGTATGTCATCAGATTTTTTATTTTCATGACGAGATTCAAAGTTTGTGTGGAAAGTATAGAAGAAAATCTGAAGAAAAAAACAGTACTGGTGCAAATACTAGTGATCCAGATCAACCCCGAAACCACAATCACTGCATTCAGCACCCACAGCCAACAAATCTGAATCTTAATCTTATCTAGTTCTCTACATTAATGGAAGAATGATTCTGTATCATAGGGAATACATGCAAACCTTTACTTTTTAAAATCACATTTGGTTGACACACTTGTGACTATAGCCTGAGATGAGGAATCAATTAAACCATGTATAATTGTACAATGTGAACCAATACAGCTATGGCAATACAAGTTCTCTATGATAATACACAAGATTAGTGAAGCCAAAAATAACATGTATCAAGAACAGGGTGTATGCACTTATTTCAATGCTATGATGCAAACATAAACTGTAACAAATAAAATGCAAAAAAAAACGAAGATAAATATAAAATAAGAGGGAATTCTTTTCATGTTATTTCTTTGATTTAAGAAGATTATTCAACTATTAATATTGAATTAAGTAATCTATAAATATACATATATATATATCTAGCAAGTAGCAAGATTTTAATGGGATGAAGATAAATCTGTCTATCAAATGAATCCTTTCTGGAGTACATATAATGTTTCTGCTTATAATCCTAACATTGTCCTCAAAATAGTAAATAACATTCACCTTACACAATAAAAAAAGCATCTTTAAGCTTCACCAAGAGATAAGATAAAAGACCCATGCATCCATTTTTTTTTTTCTGTCAAGCATACATACCTTCGACTGAATTTTTGACTTAGTTTATTGAAAAATGACATGCGACCTGCCGCATTCATGGCAGAGGTGTCCTGAGTGTGATCGGGTCCGTTGTAAGTTCTGGGTTGCCGTCTGTCTCTCACTGGACCACCGTGGAATGTGTTTCTGAGAACAGTTCTATTCAGATAACTTTTGGGTGGTACAGGAGAAACAGGTAAAGTTTTTCCCGGGGCAGTCCTAAAAAAATAGGGAGCATTTATATAGGACAAAATGCTTAACAACCAAACATTGCTTTTTTTTTTTTTTTTTTTTTACAGTTTTGGGTTTTTTTTTTTAATACTTTTTTTCAGTAATAGGGAGCATTTATATAGGACATGCTTAACAACCAAACATTTTTTTTTTTTTTTTTACAGTTTTGGAGTGTTTTTTTTTTTTTTTTTTTTTTTTTTTTTTAAACTGTTTTTCAGTATAATTTGTCCAAACTGGATACTTTTGGTTCCAGAAAAACTGCCCAGATTAGACAAAACTAGAGAGCAGGAAAATAATGGAGATTTAATTCCTTTTTTTTTTTTTTCAAAAAAAAAAAATTGTAAGTAAGATGTTTGGGTTGGCATAGCAGAGTTTCCGAAAACTATCGGTCCTACCGGCAAAACCGATAGAAAATCGAAATGTCCGATGAAATTCGCTACAGTACCGGTCCGTGTGACCGACTGTGGTGAGGGCTTGTCCTGATTAATTTATTGTACTCTTATCTATTGCAATATCTTCATAAATGAAAATTTTCAATGCAGCAAGCTCCTATTCTTCGTAAATATCCATAATCTTATCCATTTTGCACTTCTACTTGACTTATTTACTTCCAAAAACGATCGTTTTTCCTATTCCGAATTTCCTCCATTCCTCTGTTATTGGTAAACACATGCGGTATATAGGTCATGAAGTACAATGCCCACTGAGAAAACGTAAAGATGATTTAAAATTTATTTTTATTTTGAATTTCTATCATAACTGCTATTTATATATGATTCAATTTTACATGTGAGAACTAAACTTTAAATTTTAAAAAGAATTCTAGAAACCTTGAGAAGTCTTCTTTTTCAAGAATTAACCTTTTTTATAATTAGTTGTTTCTTTCCCCCAACATTTACTTGGGGCTAGTGACTTTATTGCTGCCACAAGCCTATGTGAGCTGGTGCCATGCTTGAATTAATTATGGCTGCATAACCCTGGTATCACAATCAGTGTTTCTGAGACACAAATATTTTTACATATTCAATGCCATTTTCTTTGAATTACATCTGACATAAAATATACACTGTATATTTTAAAATTTATTCGGACTGATAAAATATGCTTCGGACTGGTAGAACACATTAAGTCATCAGTCCGAATGACTGATAGAAATATTTGGTTTTCGGAAACTCTGGCATAGAAGTACTACATGAAAATGATTAATTCATTCCATATTCCTGGACTTTAGAAATTAATTTTTCTTTTTCATTCACAGAGTTTGAGACTTAAAGCTCTATGTATATAAATTGCACCGGCACAATTTATATCATTTAAAATCTAGGAAGAGCTTGTTTTGCAAGTCAGATAGCACTTAATTTAGAATTTGATTTCTATTGCAATTTAAGGATGCCACTTTGAAAATAAATGACTGCTGTTGATCCCAATTATATTTTGAATTGTAAACAGTGCATGTTTATTAATTTTATGCTGTATTGTGTAACATTCCAAGTTAAATGTGTTTGTAGTTTTTTATTAACTGGCAACTAACCCTCAAATTTATTTTATTAAGCATGTTGTGACACCATCAGATTTTACATTCTTTCCATTTTCTCATGTAAACACAAGCTAGCAAGCACATCTACAATTTTATTGTAAATAATGATTTAAATAATACTGGGTATCCAAATTAGAGGAAGAAATTATTCTTATGAACAGTTGGGACCATTATGGCCATTTGGATTTCAGAAATGAGACTAAAGTTTGAAGCTGGTATGGCTAAGAATGAAATGAGATCAAATTATACTGTATCTTTATAATTGCATTTTTAACCCTTTACAAATCCATTGCCAAATTTTTCATCTTTACTTGCTCAATTTGGAATGCTTTCCCTTATATGAAAATTCAATGTAGTTAACTTTCCCTACAAATCATTTAATGGCTTTGAGTATTGTAGCGTGTAATTGCGTCTTGAAAGGATCTGCCACCTAGCTTTTCAAAATCTTTTCAAATATGTTAGAACATTTAATGCTACACTAAGAAACACACACACATAGCGGTCATTTAGATCAGGAACAGTTAGTTTAATTTTACTACATGGCTATATGATTTTTTTAATCCGTTTACCAGGAATATACCTATCTTCTAGGTGTGAGTGACTTACGTTGGTCGAAAGTTGTCGCCATCGTTCAGAGGAGGTAGGTCAGTGACGCGGGCCACCTGGGATTGTGTTAGACTTGCAGACTTTACGTGGCTTTTGGGCCGGACCGACGGATTTTCTGTACCACCAGTTGAATTGGACATTGGTCTGCAAGCAACATATCTCTCATCAATTTTTTTCCCATAAATCATACATGCATATGAACTAAATACATTTTAAAATCATTGTTTTTTCCCCCCTTATTTTACAAAGATCACCAGTTTGATAACATTTAAATAAAACAGAGAATATCTCAATTCAAACAATTTTTTTTTTCTATATCTCCCAATTCTATAAGCTCCTTGTATACCCTCTGAGATCCTGGCCGTTAGTTGTGCGGGTTGGTTTGTCCTGGGAGGGGGCGGAGCGGACGTCCCCAGGGCTGAAGGTCTCGCTGCGGCCCGTCCGGCGGGGAATACTACTGTGAATGGAGGAGCTGTTCTTGGCTGAAGACGAAGAGGAAGATGAGGTCTGGGATGAAGTTAATTTTTTGGGCATTGTAGAACGGGTTGGTGTGGAACTGATCTGTAAAAAGGGGGGAGAAAACATATCATTAACTCTCAGCTCTCCTGTATGATCAATTTTGCAAACAGTGAATAGTGAATGGGTGAACTGCACATTTTCAAAAAAGCTACACAAGCAACAAGAAACTATTTGATGGTAAATGAAGCATTATATTAAAGGAACACATGCTATTGCAACTCTCTATTCTGTTATACAAAGCAATTCTTTTCTTTCTCTATAAGCATGCTGATGATTTTTTTGTAAATACTATAAATAGGAACTGTAGCTTTTGTTTAAAGGATTAATTTAGTTTTTTGATCAGTTGGGAAGAAGTAAACATCACCTGCTGGCCTTTGATACTCTCTCGTACGAAAGGAGATCTCTGAAATTTAATGAAACCTTCGTACAGTATCTGTGACAATTACATGGGATAATTTAAACACTATTTTGGGGATATTAATTATATATCTTTCACCAAGGAAGTGTATTATTCAAGTGTTAAATATAGTGGCAATTAGATTTCAGTGTTTGATTATGTGCATCAGTGTGTGAAAAAAAATCCTTCCCTACTAGATGTATGAGAAATGTTAAAACAGGAAATTCGACATTATGGCCTTTGACCTCTTTTTTAAGATACCTCTGTATATCCTTAACAACATTTTAGTCCTTGACCTTAAGTTCATGCATTGGTTTAAAACTGCAAAATCTGCCCATGCAGGTAAATTGGGTTAGTATTCTAGCATGCACAGCTATCACTAATACATGTACATTATCACAAAGTTAATTGCAATCTCAAAGCTAATGCCACTATTAATCACTAACACACATTGACACCACTCCAATGCAATGATGATACACAAAAATATGAGTGTTTATCTGCCCCTGAAAAATCGCTATTTATACACATGAACCTCTATTGAAAATTCTATCAATTATTGTACCAGGTATTGTAGAAATGTAAAGATGTAGAAATGCAGAGATGTAATGATGACAATCTTTATCAAAGACAGTGAGAGCAATCATTAAAACCCCGTGGCAGCTGTTATATTTCAATCAAACATTACTGCCACTTCAAACTAATTATCTGGATGACAGATGTTACAGAGGATAAGTCTGTATTCAAAATTTTACAGAAAGGAAACAGTTAAATTGTCTCCCTTTCATGTCTAGTATGAATTTTCATTGTTTCATAAAGACAAGCAGAAACAGGAATTGTAAAGTTGATATTTTCTACAAGCCGAGTTAATGATGCAGGATGTTTTAACAAAACTGTAGGTTTGGCTTATTGTAATCATTTTTCTCTACATGCTATTGCAGAAGGAGAATGTAACAAATTACAATAGAATGATACATTGGTATCATTTTTCCTGAAAAGCATTTGAAAACTGAAACTTGTCTATGTACAACCATATCCATTTTCTTTTTTTTTTAACCAAGGCTAAAAATATTTCCCTGAAAAACTCTTTAGAGCACGATATCTGCACATCAGCTTTATCCCTCGCAATGGTAATAAATTCTTTACATACAAAATTGAAAATCAATATCCCTCCATTTTTTTCTCCCCTCCCCCAAAAAAAGAAAAATAAATTAAAACTCCATCTTAGGAAAGAAATAATACACATGTACATGAGGCACAACCTAATGCATCTTCCAAAGCACAGAGAGGATAGGTAAGATACAATACATTTCTAAGACAGTCTTTATTCAGATGAAAAATTGTATGGAGTTTGTATGTAAAAATTCTTACAAGACTGGAGAGCTCGGTATTTTCAAAATAGTAATGTTTCAAGAATATCTATAAATATGTCAAATTAATATGTTTATAAGAAATTCACTTCTCTTGCATAACTTAAGTGAACACCTAGTTCAGTAATGTCAAGAGAGAAAGATAATATTACACAGTGGGTTACATTTAATGTTTCTCACACGAAGATTTTCATTTCAGATCTGTATTTAGGAAAAAAAAATTCAAACATGCTTTGACTTATGAACTTTCTAGATCTGTTTTGTTTACAAGTTGTTCTATATCTAATTTTACAATTGTTTTACGCTTAAGAATGCTTTCACACTGCAATTTTTTTAAAACCCTTTTCACCATTATGAAATAATATATTGGTATTATGTATACTGAATTATTGATATACATGTATTCTCATGCATATACCATGCTAGATAGTTTGTAAATAGTTTAATTTTATACAATATTATGGTCATTCTAACATTAAAATACTCTATTTACATGTCATGTGCTCATGTTATGCTTTTTCATAGTATTTTCTTAAAAAAAATAACTGATTAGAGAAGTGGTGCCATCTCTACGCTAAATTTGTGGATATCACTTAGTGATTTCCCCTTTTTTCTTTCCAGAGTTGCCTACCTTTGGAGATTCCATGATGGGGCCTCCAGAGGGCGTTTTGCGCCCTGAAAGGGCATTCTCCTTGGTTGAGGAAGAGTCGATGGTGTTCTGTCTACGTGGGGTGTGCGATGATGATTGAGAACTTGATGGTCCTGTAGTTCCTACAAATTCCAAAAGGGAAACTGTGAATATTTTTTTCCTCGTCTAATTGTACAATCTTGATTCTTCTATTTCACTATCATTTCTTTGGTTTTGTTCAAGTTCGAAACACTGCATTCTTTACTATTATATTATCATTAGAATAAACTACGAAGTTTTACACATTTTAGCAAAGAGAGGAAAATAAGCTCTGGTTTAGCAAAAAGGATGTTCATTTTCATTTTGAATTTTTTTAGCAGCCAAAGGACCTTAATGTTCCTTTTTGCCTATGATGCTTTTGTTTCCGATTATGAACTCCCAAATTTTCTCAAATTTTCTGAGACACAAGTCAACAAATAGTTTTATGTATAATTATCCCCCCACCAAATTTATACATGCTTTATTGATTTTTACTTCTCCTTTTCTGATGAAAGTTTAAGATCTTCAAAATGGAGATTACAAACACTAAAATTATACCCAGGTTTCTTATATCTAAATTCAGAACAGGTTAGATGTGTCCAAGAGTGAGTTAGGATCAGTAATATGCCATCTTAGTCTGCTTACGTTTGATACTACCGTTATTTTCTGTGCCCTGGCTGTACCGGCGCCTGCCTTGATTGGTTCCACTGCTGGTCGCCGACTGACTGCGGGTCACTTTGTTAGGAGACTGGCTATTGGCTGTGTTTTCACTATGTGGCCTATTGGAGGACATCTGTCCTAAATGTCTTAAAGACTGACTACTGCCAGAGCGGTCACTGCCCTCCAACTGTGAGGAAAATAAACAATAATCAACCATACAAGGGCAAGGACATTCATCAACTAACGATAATCTTTGTACTGCCATAGAATTTTTGTACAGTTCAATTTCTGTACCACAACAGTAAAATCAGGCTCTGAGACCATTAAACTTATATGAACTTGCTTTTGATCTCCATCTCACTTTTCTACTATTATTTCCTAATGTAAAAGTGAGAAAGATCAACATTAAGCTTGTCTACGTTTTTGGCACCGGAGCCAGATGAATGATGGGAGTTTGGTGGTATATACCACTTACGTCTGAAGTCCTTCTCCCTAACAACAGGTACGTGGCCTGGACGTCATCATACTTCTGGTGAGTGATGGAGTCCTCCACAGCTTGCCTTGAGTAGCCCATGTTTAGCATCAATTCTAAGTTCAAGGGAAAAAGGGGATTCATATGAAATTTCAGCAAGAACTTTCACATAATACTGTTATCTCTTAACATGTCTATATCTTGTCCCATCTAATATGATTAGGAGGTTAGAAAGTTTATATTCACAGTATTTTGTGAGTTGATTAGTAGTCTAATAGTATTTGTGTATATATGAATGTCTAACACCTTTCTTGTTATCCAGGTCAAATTATGAAAAAGATACATGTTCAGTTCATATTAAAATGGACACACACATGAAAATTAAGACTTGACGAAATGGCACTTTTATTTTGGTGCAGAAAACCAAAATTTCTTGTTCGCATGCAGGACAAGTCATTCAACAACAATAAACAAGCAATTTACACAGAATACCTTAGTTCCCAATCCCTTTACAAATATTAAGAAAAAATACCTCAAACTGATACTAAATGATACTCAATATATTTTGGTCACTAGTTAAAATTAAAACTAACCTAATGGTACTAAGGACCACTGCAGTGCAAGTCAGGAAATGTAATAAAACTTGTGATTAAAAGAGCTTAAAAAGAACACTACATCTTGTGAGAGAAAAAATAAGCTAGATTTCTTGTCCTTTGAGTCTTGTCATAAAATGGTGGTGGTTGAAGGCTGCAAAAACTTGGGTCATAAGCAACCTTGTGTTTAATATGAAAGTTTACCTTCCACGGATGTCAAAAGAATTCAATTTACAGTCATCCGACTTTGACCTTGTCCAATCAACAAAAGCTAAAAATCATGACAGAGTTCAAGGTCACAAACCTTTGAATCAGGTATTACGCAAATGCAGAGTATTTTCCATTTTTATTATCGATGATGTGACCTTGACCTATCAAAATGACTTTTGCTAAGAGTTATGATACATTCACTGAGCACCTCCATTGAAGTATTGATAAATATTTCCATATGGAATTATGGAATGTACAAGAATTTTGTATGGGTTTTGTTTTAAAACGAGCATTTAAAACTGCTGCATTTCTTTTCCTCCATAAATTTTTCATTGCTTAAGTAATAATAATTAGATGTACCTTAGTCTTCATAATGTTTAAAAGATACTTTTTCTACATGTACTAGTTTTAGTTAGTTTTATAAATCCATTACTAATGAAAAAACAGAACAATTTACTATAAACTTCCATAAATCCCTTTGACAGAATTGGTTATACAAAGGTGAATAACACTTCAGTTAAAAAGAGTGGAAATTTAGTACTGTCTTAGAAGTTCAAAAAGAAAACTTCATAGCAAAGAAATGAAACATCCATGTGTCATCTCTTGGACTTGGCCATAGAAAAGAATATTTTTTTTGGTGGGCACACATGCATGTTCTGGTCTTTGCCATGTCTGCAGCCGACAAATCTATGTACCTATTCGTTTATTTTCAAGGAGGTCTTTGGGTGGCTCCTTATAGGGCTTTAAATCCCGTTCTTCATAACCCATATTGATCCATCGGTCTTTCATAATATTCTGACACAAAATAAGAAATGCCATGAAATAAAAAACAACACATAATATTGACATCAAGCAAGTATGAACTAGGGCTCATCTAATCACCAATGATAAGTCTAGGTAGAAGCAGATTTGTGTTGAATTTTGATTATTGAGTGAAATTCTGATTGATGATTCTAAACAAATCATGAGCCACTAGATGAACTGTTCAAACTTGCTTCTAAGCAGAGCTCTTGCTGACCAAGATTTCTTAGAGACTGATAGCAACTCTAACGCTGCATCGTATTAAACCCTCATTCTCTCTCTCCCTGGTTCTCCAGAAATCTTGGTAACAATGGAAGCCCCTTGTCGCTACAGGACAATACAAGTGTGTGTCAGGGATTTTTTTTACCTATCCGCAAAGGGTCAAGGACGTCTGCAGGGGGCTCTACAAAAGGTTTAAGTTCATCATCCTCGCAACCTATATTCATCCACTTGTCCTTCATAATATTCTGTGATAGCATAAAGTTCAAAGAAATGACAAGTTAAAATAGGTCATGTCATCGGAAATAAAAATAAAGTGTCTATTTACATTTACAGTCTCCAATTATGATGATAAACACAGCCATGTCACTTCATTCATGACCAATTATTCATAATCTCACTTATCCATACTCATGCATACTATAATAAATCACCTTCAAACTCTTATTCCAATATTTGAAGAAAAAAAAATTGTTTTCCTAATCTTCACACCTCATTTGCATAATTCAACATCAAATCTGAGAGGTTTGACCTTGTCAGTACATCAAGATAACACTTCAGGTAGGGTGCTTTTTAACACATCTGAATGACAGTGTACATAAAAAGAGGCATACATTGTGAAGAAATAAAGAATGGTTACTCGGAACGGAAGCACTTACCTCTAGACAAACTCTCTTAGTAGGATTTAATACTAAAAACTTTTTTAACAGATTTTCACAGTCTGTGGACATGTAAAAGGGGATTCGGTATTTTCCACGTAACACCCTTTCTCTCAATTCCTAAGAAAAGAGAAAAATAAAGTAAAACAGTGGAAAAAGACTGAGAAATATTGAAAAAAAAACTTGCATGGTAAAGTAATAAAAAATGTATGTAATATAAATAATCTCTGCTGCAAACACATGGTAGCTTTTTTTTTTTTACATTACTGAATCTTGTCTTTTATCTGCAGACCATAATTATAGCATGTATGTATACACAATGTGGCTTGTCACGAATTTTACCCGGTGCAAATAACTGACAGAATTATTAACGCTTCACTGCTCATGACAACTGCGATTGTCTACAGTCAACTTTAAAGTACTTCATTATGCAACAGTTTATTTAAGCTTTATAAACATTAAGTCAATTTTTAGGGCAATTAATAATTACGTGTATATTTTAGAATATGGTTTGAATGTATTATCATTTTATTTATTTGAATATTGCATAAAATAAACTGTTAATTTTAATTTTTCATTGTTGTGTGATTGGAAAAACAAGTACTACAAACAATAATTCCATCAGGACTTAAAATTACTCAGTCCATATAATCAAGTTAGCAAAATCCTAGCGAGAACCCTGTTATTGTTTGGCTAGATAAATCACTCTGAATACAAGATTGTTGACTTGCTCAATTTTTCCCTCATTCAATTATCAAGTGAAAAATCTAAGTGAATGTACATACATTTTTTTAATAATAATGGCCATTTAAATAGGAATTAACTTAGTGCATTCTAATTCATTATTTTTGCGATTAAACAGTAAATTTTGCACTTACCTTTAAATTCTGTCCATCAAATGGAAGAGATCCACTGACTAGTGTATACAATATAACCCCTAAACTCCACACATCCACTTCAGGACCATCATATTTCTTCCCTGTATAAAATTAAAACAAGTTACTGATTAAAGACACAAGCTTCTAAATGGAAATTCTTTGTCAAATATCATCTTGCGAAAAAAATACGAAAACTGCAAAACATTTACAAAATTACATGTACTCAGATTTACACATGTAGAGGTCCTCTAGAGGATGGTTTTTCCTGAGCAAAACGCCCAAGCCAACTTTAGTTATCAAAGCTTATTCATTGTTAAACTATTTTTCAACTTTTCTTCCTACCCTGAAACAATTCTGGAGCAGCGTATGGAGGGCTCCCACAGAACGTGTCCAGCTTATTTCCTGGAACAAACTCATTGCTAAAACCAAAGTCGGCAATCTTTATGTTCATATCACCATCTAAGAGTAAGTTTTCAGCCTGAAAATGAACCGGAAAAGAATGTTATATTCTAATGGTCTCATGCTTTCTTACAGTTAATCTAATAAAAGTTAATAAAAAGTAGGACAAAGTTACTGCTCTTTAAAATACAAGGTAATTCTGTCAGTTTACTACATTTGATTAAAACAAAAGCACTACAGGGATAAGTATGTGTGAACATTGTACATCATATATAAACTGTGGTCCAAAATATAAATTTCTGAACCTTTACCTTTGAAACTTTTTTTTACTATAGCTCCATAATCCAAGTAGCACTTTTAAATAAGTAGACTTAAACTGATTTATTAGGTAATCTTGTTCTTAATCCTTTATATTCTTTAATTGAATCAGTATACATCTTTCTCTGTTCAATTTCTTGTCTAAAGAAACTCTACTGTTCAACACTGTTTGACAAACAGTATAATCTTTTCAAAAATCTGCATACATCTTTCTCTGCTCAATTTCTTGTCTACATCAAGCTTTTTTTTTCATAGGTGAAAAGGCCAATAGAAAAATCTTGCTCAAGTTACTTCTGCAAAGTAAGAACCTTTGCTATATCAGCCATCTGATAAGAAGCAAAACATTGTGTTCCTTTTTTTGGTAGCATGATTTGGGAGGCATACAGTACATGCACAAGCAGTTTAATAAATCCTTAACACTTTGCTGTGAGGTTATGATAACCAAATTCTATTAGAAATGTGATATTCGGGTGCACAATCCAGAAAATTTAACCGTTTGAGACAGTTGGCCTTGTACCCTTACTACCTAATGCATACATGTCTCATGTAACAGTCTAGTTAGGGTAACAGGGTACTACATTATGCTTGACTTCCCCTGGCTATTATGTACCATAGGTATCCCACATTTATCCCTAACTAGCCTGTGGCTTAATCTTGTGTAATGCTTTACCTGTGACTAAAACATTTCCAATGCAAACAGGTAGCAAAAGTGTCCATAAAATCTACCTATTTGAGTAAAAAAGAGGTATTTACTTATCACAGAAGGTTTTAAAACTCCTTTTACCTTAAGATCCCTGTGGACTATATGCTTTTGATGGCAGTACTGCACAGATGATACAATCTACAACAGAAAAAACAAATATCATTACTCGCTGGACACAGTCAATAAATCAATATTCCTGTTTCCAAAGACACACGGCCCTGAATCCCAAGATAAAGATCTGCAATCTCAGCAAATATCAATCAATACGCCTTTCTGTAAATTATTTCTACGTATCTGGAGTGCACTTTGTTGTTAAATCTATCTGAACTTGTTTTGATCTCTCTCTCTAGGAGTTTTACTGACTTCCTGTATTTATTAGAGATTATAAAAACTGAAGTAAAATCAAAATGACTAAAATGACCTTTATTTCATCTAAGGATATTTACCCAAAACTCAAGGTTTTTCCCAAACTTGAGTTAAACTGACTAAACCAGAATTTGGCTTATTTTGCGGTTGCTTAATTAAAACTAAATCAACAATGCTTATCTGCACACTATATACACAATTACTTAGACATAGTTTTAAAAGAGATTAATGTACAATGTACTTTCTGTGTGTCACATGTATGTCCTTGTATTATCACAGCATCTGTTTATTTATAAAACAATATTGAGGAAATACACACTTATGGATAAGACTTTTAATATCACTTGAAATCTATATTCACCTATCTTATCAATTATTTTGTACCCTCTAAAATTTGCACAATGAGATATATAAAATATCAGGCAAAAAAAAAAATCAATTATATATCTATTGTATCACAAAAATTATTTATCACAAAATATACATCTTTGTGCTGTACTGGAAAATTGTGCCACCCAATTCAAAGACATGGACTGTGGATTTAATTCCATCATTTTTCCATCAAGTTTAAGTAACTTAACATCTCTGTGAAGACTGAAACTCCAGTACTATGAACACAAAAACAGTTCTTTTGTTGGACACAACCAGGTATATAGCACATTTGGTTATAACAAAAGAGATCTCACACCACTTTTTGTGTGTCACTGGGGTCCTTGTATTATCACAGCATCTGTTTAATTATAAAACATTTTGGGAAAACACACTTGGATAACCAAAATTCATTAAAAAAAATACTCAAATTTTGCTTTTTGCACATTTTGTCATCAATTTAAATCTGGTTTTGAATAAACAGTTAAACAGGACAAACATGGGTACATAGGCTATTTATATATAAGTACATTAGCTTTGTCATTATATCTTTGAGTGTTGATATTTGCGGTATAACAATTTAAAATCTTTCCGAGTTTATGACAGCAGCAAAAATATATGTGTTTCAACAGGCAAATTTACATCACCACATAATAACAAATTTGTGTCAATATTGACCAATACCATGAATACAGCGTGAAAAGATTATGCCGAAGCGTTTGGATATGTTTCTGCTAAAGTGGTAAACATCTTATACTTTCCAATGAACATAAAGGGCTATTAATAATATTTCTTTTGTGTAAATCAAAATGATGTTTTTTGTCTGAGTTTACATGACATATTTGTATAACTTTGCACTCATAGTTAGTACACATTTTTGTAAATTCAATAATAATAATAACAATATCAAACTTTGTGCTGTATTGGAAAATTGTAACACCCGTAATAAATAATACAGTTTCACTTTCATTTGCAAGTGTGTTTTGTTTGGTTCCATTTTATTTTTTAATTAATATTTGCTATGGAAATTGGGAAATTTACACCTTTCTTTTGGGAAAAAGGGTATCTTTTTTGCATGAGGAGTTGATACGGCCCCAATTTTAACGCCTGAATACCTTCTTTTTGGTTACACATGAAAACAAAACAAAGTCCTTTTTCAGAAGGAACAACTGCAGACATTAAGACCTTTCACACATGCTTAATTTACTCTAGAATAAAAATTATTTCATAAAGCAGCATCATGCAAGTTAGACATTCAGTCATGGTAGTTCACATGTATATTGACCAAAACAGAGAACTGAAAGAAAATGGGAAAAAAATAACCCTGCAAAACTTCTTTTGTGAACACAAGGCCTGGGAAAGGGCTGTGTCCTTATGAGCAATAAACCCGAAAACTGGGGAAATACAATGATGGTTTGCTGTGCCATGAGCCTTGCCCACAAACTGCAGTTATACATATTTTTTAAATCTGTTGGCACTTTTGCTGTTTAGCCAATGCGGTATTCCTCATCAAAATTTAAAGAAACCTGAGATGCATCATATAATAGTCAGGACCACCATTCAAAATATCGACATCCACTGGAAAAGAAACAAACTTTCCCCTTAAGTGGAATATAATGTCTTTTGGAAAAACTGACCCCAGCTATACTTCAGTCATGCACTTGGAAAATATAACCTTACTATGAAATACCATATCAAGTTTTCAACTAGGTTTACTTATCTTGGCCTGCCCTTTTACCCTCTAAATTGGCAATTTTGAAAAATGGTGCTTTTGGTTTCAACATATTTTTTCTAAATACTTCCTTCATTAGATGATGAATAATTTAGAACATAGCAACAGAAAAATCACGTCCTAATCATGTCATAATTTGTCAATTCCTAGCAATGGCATTTTTTTAAACATAATATATTTTGTTATAGAGACATATGAATGATCATGACATCATAATAAATATACACTATGCTCAAATTTTAGAATGGTCCAAATATTTCCTCTTGGCCCAATAAATTTCAAAATGAAGCCATCATTTTATAAATAGAGGGGCCACTGGCTCCAAGTGTTGTTTGACCTTCCCTGACACTGTGAACACAATGCATTTCAGTTGCTATGGACGTCCTGTTTTGATTTCCACTGCATATATACCCTCAAAAGGGTTGACCTTGACCTAATTTTTACTCTGGTCACAAAATTTTTACAATTAGAGCTAGGACTTTTATATTCCATTTGACTAGTCCTTTCTTTGAGTACCAATTTTTTTTTTTTTTTACCTTGAAGTTTGATCTACGTTTTCAAAAACTTTGATCTTGACCATAAGTTGTAAACAATTGGAACTTAGGCTTTCATTTATGCATTTCTTGTCAAGACCATTCTTTTGGTAACAACATTTTGACCTAATAACCTTGACCTAGAAGTAAGACCTTCTTTTGAAATTCAAAAGCATGAGCCTTTGCCTATACCTTTCTGATGGTTAATTGAAGACATTTCTTTCAGTTTAGGCACCAACATTTTTAAACTTTTGACCTTCATCTTAGAGATGATTGAATGAATGTTGCTTTGCTATTTGGGTGGTAATGAAATCTTATGAATTTCCAATATCTAGCTAACATTTTCTATGCTGTGGCAATGTGTGGAATTTCTTGAATTTGTCCATTTTGCTTGTTGTTTGATTTTGAAGCCTTGAACAAATTTCTCTCGATATATAATCCATGTTAAACTTAGCAAGTGTACTTTTAGCATTTAGGTCTGATCAAGGAGGGACCATGATTTTGAACCTACAAGGAAATAGGCAAGTAAAATACAAGACTGTGGCACTGTTCATTTTTCAATAAATTTTCCGGGTTTAACTTTTTCTTTTTTCATAAATTTCATTCAAAATACTTCTAAGGTTTCTTCTGCTCTGTCCAGGGTGATCAGGCATAATTTAAAAGCAAAATCTACACCATGGTATTTAAGACTTTACAATTTTACCAATTCTTTTAGCTTAAGGATCCAAAGGAACATTTTTGAATAACCAAAATTTTTATACATTTCACTCCATGCAAAATACTGTAAAATGACTCATTAAAAAAAATTCAAGAAAAGCTAAGCCTTGTTTTGATATAATGTAGCAACAAGAAATGCAACTCCTTATCATAACCACATTCTTAAGTTTTTGTTTTTTTTTCTGACGCTTTCCTTTCATAATTACCAATTCTGGGTGTATGTCACAAATAACACGAATCAAAAAATTTTCAAATTTGAAATGCAACTCATCATCATAGCCATATTCTGAAGTTTTTGTTTTTTTCTTAAGTTTTCCCTTTTTGTAATATTTCGTAATTAACAATTTTGGGTGTGTGTCACAAATACCATGAATAATTTTTTTTTTCAAATTTGAATTCCAAAACTCTTCCCATACCTTTAAAGTCCTTTTCAACAATTCTTTACCATCACAAACATATTCAATAAGCATATTTGTTTAACATTAGAAAATAAACTGACCTGACGAAATTTGGCTCTTGCTTCCTTTTCTTTCATTCTACCATGGGCAACAAGATAGTCAAATACTTCTCCTGCAACAGAAGAAAAAAAGAATGCAATGTTCAACTCAGGTGTCAACTGTCAAGCATAAGAAGTGGATATGGATTTAAATTGCTAGTTTTTTTTTTCTCAGTGAAATCAAATTGACACATTAATCTAAACTAAGCTGTAAATGACTCTGCCCCCCCCCCCCCCAAAAAAAATCAGTGGGCAAAGAGATTGATCTAATTAGTTGTGACCCTAGTTATCATATTGCTGATTGCTTGAACTATATGAAATTCAATTCTGCCAGCATCTTGACAGAGCTCATAGAAAACCAAGTTCAAGATCATTGATAATCACCAATTCACTAAAAATCATGAAAAAAAATTTCTTATCTACTGACCTCCACTTGCATACTCCATGACTAAGTACAATGTTTTCTCTGTTTCAATCACTTCAAACAGTTTCACTGAAAACAAAATTCAGAAATGTCATTTGTTTTTTACTTCTAGAAAAGTTTTTAAAATATTTATTTTTGATTCATCTCAAGTTTTTTTCAACAACAAATTAACATATTAATTATTACAGTTTAATGCATACCAATGTTGGGATGATCCAAGTTCTTCATTATTCTAACTTCCCTAAAAAGCTGTATAAATGAAAAATAAATAAATATATAAGCAATATACCGCAAAATATGTTTGGTTATTGTTAATTATCTATTCATTATGACTTTTCTTTTTAATCCTGTTTTTTCTGCTAAAAGGTCATTGAGGAATTGATTATTCATTAATATTCGATGCACGACTTACCTTGTTTAAGCTTGATGGGTTCAGCTGTGTCTTGTCAATAATTTTGATTGCAACCTAAGTGGCAGAAAATATGAGTCAATATGATAACAAAGAGATCAATGTGTATTGTGTCCCAAATATGCAGAAAAAAAGGAACTGATGTAATATCATTATCCACATCATACAACATGCATACTTTTTTATATAATCAATATAATATTTTTTTCATTTTATCTGTTCGTTTATATCTGTCTTGAACGACATTGCCATGACTCAGTATTTCCTTCCACCTTAAAAAATAAACATTATGCAGATAACTTTATCACTTCTACACTTTTGACAATCAGCTGATTCACTGACAGCTGCAGAAACCACGCCGCCAAGGAAACCCCAGTGGGTATATTGTTAAACCTACCTCCCTGCCAGTTGGGACATGTTTGGCCAACTTGACTTTGGCAAAATTTCCCTTGCCTATCGTTTTGATCAGTCTGTATTTTCCTATGTGTGGTTCATCCGTTCTACGCCCAGAGGAGGAGATTCTCGGGTTAGCATTGTCGTCGGTTTGCTGTGTGTGCAAAGAACAAAATAAGTAGGTCACCCAGGAAGTGCACAACTACCACAAAAATGAAACTCGTCATGCACAGAAAATAAATATGAGACCGCTTCACAATAAACTTACCCGGCGATTGCTGCTTCTTGATTCCGATGTAACCGATTCGTGAACCGTCTGCAGTGGGGTTCGAGTCGACATGTTGAATAAATTATAGTTTGACGTCCAGGTGAGACTACGTTGAAACGATTCTTTACAGAATATAATGCTTCATTAGCAGTTTTTCTACCCTAAGCGTCTATGTACACAATTTATCTACTTAGCTCTAACAGAATCGGCTTCCGTGGATGCTCTCTGGTTTGTTTTTCACAGAAAATCGGGGTCATTTATAGCACCAAGTTGACTATGAAGTAGTGCCCTTGGGTCCATCAAAAAGTGCAGTTCACAAGGCAAACGGGAATTAATCTCCATTTAAAACATTTCATTATAAAATAAAGTTATCACTTTCAGCCTGGGCTTTGGTTTTTATGAGTTCAGACCACTAGGTTACACATAGAAACAAAATATATTCCCTATGTCAAGTAACAAAAATGGCTGACTCGTTCCACGCCAAAATCTCCCAAAATGTGAACGCCGTGCGCAACTTCGGTTCATTGCGAGTTTTGATTGGTTGATCTATACCGTTATGACATCACCGAGAAATATGCAAAAGCAAGTGCACTTACTTTAATGTTAACAATGTTAAACTAGCTCTTTTTATAAATTTGATGAAGTAAATTAAAAGCTGAAATATAAATAAAAAATATATATCTTGAATATGGTAAAAGAAACAAGTCAATGTGTTTCTTTGATGCAATGGAATATGCGTCTATTTTCACATGTTTCATTATCCATTTTTCACACAAATATATAATTTATTTGAGATTCAATAAACTATTTGTTTGATAATTAGCAACAAATATGGCCCTAATTTTTTTTTTCTACCTGTCTTTATTTTTAGTAAATTTTAGCAAACTAAAATGTCCTTAATTTATTTTATGCATTACGTAAATAGACCACGAGTTTCGAGTGTCATTAAATATTTTTTATTGTGTGTGTGTATTTGTTTTTGTAAATATAGAATGATAAAAAATAAGTTTTTTTGCAAAAATTAAAATGAAATAATGAAGTCGTTGCCGATATATAGGTATTTTCTTTGTCGCAACAAGTCTATGGGTTTCATTTTAAAGAGTGATTTGACATCTTTTTTTTCTTCAAATTTTTCTTAAACAACAATAGCTAGAATCGCTATATATATGCTTAAAGGTCCATGTACTATTAGTTTTTATTTAATTTATTAATTTTTTTTACGTATTTTGATTGCAAGAAGGGGGGATTTGCCATTACATATCCAGAGAGCTATTTCAATATCCACTCGTCAAAGCGACTCGGTATCATATATGCGTATTGAAAAAGTGGAGCCCCCCCCCGTTAGACACATAAGAAATTCTCTTTTTTTTTTCTTTTTTTTTTTTGGTAATGTTGTTCCTTTCTTTAGACACATAATAAATTCTCTTACTTTTTGGTAATGTTGTTCATCATTCTGTTAAGAGAAGTTGAGTGAAGTAAAACAAAAACCAAACAAGGCTGGCGGTAAACACATTTCAGAATTTTTTTTGTGCTTTACAAACTGTTTACGAAAATTTACACCCCCCTCCCAATAAAATTTAGGCATTCAGGAGTTTTTTGTTGAGCTTTTTGACTAACTTATGGCATTTGTTTTTAATTAAGCTTATCGGGACGCCTATACAACATCAGTGTTTGGGACGATACAGGTATCCTTCCACACAATTTATACATACAAAAATATTAACAACGAAAGGTTGCAATCAATACTAACAATGTCTAAATTCAACCCAAATTTCTCATCTTTGACACCTGCAGAAAAACTTGTCTGGAATTTGAATAATGAAAATAACAAAATGCTTACTTGGACACTTTAATTTGGTTATGATCATTGACTCTGAATACAATTGTAACTTAATTGGTCATTTGTGCACTTTTGTATGTTGAAATGCCTTTCGGAGCCCTTGATTGGTATATGAAATATCTTGTATAGTAGTATTTTTTCTATAGTGTTAATACATGTTTACTATAGTGTACTGTATGTTTTCTGTAGTGTACTATATATTGCCCCCCCCCCCCCCCGATTCTTACGGCCATGTTAACAGGTTAATGGTTTTGAACTTTTTGAACAGAAATTTGTTACAATATACGCGTAGTTTACTTTTAAAAATACTACTAGTAGCTTAAGTTTTATCAAAACCTTGATATTAGATCGGGACAATGAGTTAGTTCTATCTTTGTTGTGATGATGCCGTCGTCGCATGCCACAGGATTTGTAAGTCCTTTCTCATCCGACGTCACCATAATTAAAACCAGTGTCGGGCTTTTTTAAAGACCTTTACTCTGCACCCAGAGCTATTGAGCATGCAGATACAGTGCCTTCATCATGCTGACATGGGGTCTGAAGTACTTCAAAATGCCGAGTGCTTTTAAAGAAACATTTCTACCTTTTTTCAGTCCCGGCTGGGTTCGAACCCACAACCTCCCACTCTATTCAAGATTTCTGTATTTCAAAGTCAAGGGGATTATAAAATCACTTTGCCATGAGCATCAATTCATTATAATCGTGCTCGCTATAAGCGTGTTTTACTGTACTTATTAACACTACAGTCTACATTTAACCTGATGCAAACAAAATAAAAAAAGAGGAAAATTTTCAGAAGTACAATTTATTCCGATACATACACATGTGTAAAATCACTGTGCAAGTGCAATATCACAGAACATTCAAATGAACTGTCAATAATTTGATCATTCCATTAGTGTTTATGAATGTCTTGATTTTGTTGTTGTTGTTGTTTTTGTTGTTATTGTTGTTAGGATCCCTCTGCATCCAGTGTGGCCGTGGACACTGCTGTTTGTTGTCTACTAACTCTCTGCTCTGTTAAAAAAAAGAAAGAAAATATTACACATAGAAATGGTTAAGTCAATAATAGCTGAAAGCAAAGGGTTTTCAAACTGACTTTATATATTAAGAAATATTATGGAATGATAACTGGACAACTATTTAATTTGATGAAGGGGGAGGGCACAAAATTTTGAAGAAGAGATTAATTATTTTGTACCTCAGTGGAAAAAAAGACAATTGCCAAGCTCCAAATTAAATATTATTTGGGGGTGCGGTGAGGGGGTAGGGGTAGTACTTGCACCTGAAAGGACATATTATTTATTTTCTTACCAGTTAAGCAAAGAGGATTTATTTTTAATATTTTTTAGGACAGTATATTATTTCAAGACTGTACCAACCCCCTCCCCTTTTCTAAATCAAATTGTTGTCCTTACTGAATTCAATGGAAAATCTTTGTTTACTACAATACCGTAAATCTGGAAATTTTTACATTGATTTTATTTTGCGATTCTGGGTCAAAATGCTATCGATTTATTTTTGCGTTTAAAATTTTGCGAATGACCACTATACTTTGTTTACATTTTATTATTGTTGAATTATTTTTTAAGAAAAATATTTTTGCAAATGCAATGAACTCGCAAATTTGCTAAAAATTTATCTACAACAAAAATTTCCAGATTTACGGTAGTGAATGTGAAGTTGTATATTCACATGTATTGATCAAATATTTTTAATAATTTGGCGTATTCAGTTAAACTGTAAAAAAGAAACACATTTGGTATTAATACTAGTAAGCAAGCACACATTAATCAAGACATAAAATTTTACAAAAAATTTTGTTAATTTTATCATGACCATTTGATGACAAATTTCACATGATGCACACACTCAACTGTGTTTTTGCAAACCAATGTTTAGAATTATTGGACCTTTCATCAAATGATAGAAATACAAAAAAAAAAAAATTAATACTAGAGTTATACACACAATTAAATCATGCTTTTTGATTATGTCAATTGTCTGTTGGACTTTATATGAATTATTTTCAGTTTTAGGGACTAAAAAATAGCAAAGATTTCATGCAGTTTATTCTATCTTACCAAACTTTGTAAACATGTTGCTAAGCAACCTTTTTCGTTGCTTCAGTCCATCTAGAAAAGCAACCTGAGTATTCTGTATTTATTCCAAACTGACAGAAATATTATAAGCTGGACTATACAAATTGCTCATATATGTAACTTTACAAATGTACGAGACTGCAGTGTTGAATATGGGTTTACTTTTATAAGTAAGACTTAAACTGTTCATAAGAGTCTGCCTTAAACAGGTCGGAGAGAATACTCGAAATCGGGTATTATCCGTGAAATCGCGTATAATACTCGATATTAGGGTATCGTTGAATCCGCTAATTCGGGCTTTCCGTGCAACTTTCAATAAAAACTAAAGAATAAAGCAACGGCGCATTATGCCATTACTGTTACTTGTACATCAGTATCTTGTGGATTTATTTTTATTAAACCTAATTCATAAGGTTGTCAAATAAGTTTAAAATCACACAACAAACACTGCTGGGGTAACAAAGAGGACACACTGGCGTTATTATTTATCAATATAATTTCTAAAAACAAATATCTACACTTCGTTTGTCTTTATTTCCCATTAAAGTATTCCATATACTTAATTTTCTAATTTTGCACTATCATACATGTTAACCTATTGTGATGAAAAAGAGGGAGATTCAGACCTCAAAAGCGGTAGCATTGCGCGCGTGTTGTTTAACGCTTGGATTATCGATATCTTTCATGTAATATACATGTATATTATAAGCCTTAAATGAAATAAGGTACCTACACTAATTAATCTTAAATATCAACAGCAAAGAAGAAGACAGAAACACATTAAGTTTGACATAAATTGTACAAATTCAAATATTTTTCATGCTCATCATTTTGCTTGGATTGGCTGCTTTACTTAGCCTTTTGAAGAGTGATCTTTGCTGATATAGCCTAGAAGCAATAATTCTGAATGTTCATTCAGTTTTTAAACGAAACAAATGATGACATGGTTTAATCTTTCAGATCTAAAACAAGTTCCTATCTTTCGTTATATAAATCAGATTTCCCGCGATGATAAAACGAAAGTAGAGATGTGCCACATGGCTTGGTCAATCGAGTGATTTCTATTGACTTTAATGATAAAGTTGTGAGCTTCTGTGCTTTTAAAGACGATGTCAAATGTTTTCATCTAATTCTTAAAAGCTGTATCTCCTTTTTCATGGCAGGGATGTTGATTTATTTATCGTAACCAATGTAATCACTAGTAGTCTTATGTTGTTGTCGTTGTCAAATCCTTGCTTGAAATCTATGTACAAAAAAAGCGTTTGTATGATTCCGAGTCAAATCACGCGATATCTAGCGAGATTTCATGAGAGTGGCTTCAAAAATGGATTGGACCCAAGCGAACCAAAAATACTGTAGACGCAGCTTTTGTAGAAAAGCGGTAGATTTCTGAATTAAATCGGTAGGCGGGAGATGGAGTGAAAAAGCGGTAGACTCCCGCCTAAATCGGGAGAGTTAACATGTATGGCACTATTCAGAAAACGTGAAATTTTAAAGAAATTAAACGACTAGCGCCGTGTTATGTATTTTTACTGAAAAATGTATGGCGTCCCTTTCTCGTGAAATATAAATTACTCCTAACAGTTAGATAGTAAAGTATAAGGGAGTCATAATTGTATATCTCTGCAATAATAGAATACCAACGTTATTATAAAGAAGAAAATAAAATAAGATGAAATAAATACCCACGGGAAAACAGTTTGAAAATAGCTAATTGAAGCTGAGATCTTTTTTTTTTAATGTCAATTTAGCATGAAATTTTTATTTCAAAGACACCGTAAATTTTTTGGTTGCATTTTAATCGATACAAAATATACTATTTTACCTTTATTTTATGTATTTGTGTGAAAATTGAGAGCGAGAAGTCATATGAACAGGATTTTCGTGTTTTTTTTTTTTGTTTTTTTTTTGGGGGGGGGGTATAAATAAAAGGCAAATGTGTACATCTTTTCATGAAGTTAAAATACATTGAATTTCTCAATATAGATCGAGGTACAGTCATATTGAAATATGAATTACATAGTCAAGTTTTCACATTTTTTATAGTTTTTACGTTTATGAATTAACATGTAAAGACTGAAATAATGGAGTGTTCAATTGCCTTGGAAACTCTTGTCTTACTTTTTGGGAATAAAATTCCTCATCGGACATTAAAATTTCATAAAAATCGTAGCCACTTCCTTTCTTTATCATAGGCGTCGAACCGGGGGGGGGGGGGGGGGGGGGGGCTAGGAGAAGTTGTTTTTTCAATATATACTTAGTATAGACATTGAACCTTGTTACATAGGTTAAGCCCCCCCCCCCCCAACTTTCCACAACACCTCGCAGTATAGGCTAAAAATGGGTAAAGTTTTGGTGTTTGGAGAAAAATTTAGGTACTAAAGTTTGAACCTAACCCCCCCCCCCCCTCCCCCTTCCCTACGATTAAAAATATATGACCGAGTTTAACCGACCGTGACATTCAAAGAGAGGTCTATTAGACACATGTAGAACACAGTCGAGGTTGTTTTGTCAGATGTGGTCAACCCCCCCACCCCCCTTTTGAAGTCGCCAAGAAATGGTAAAATATTGATGACACACACTCAACAGTTATGTTCTCTCATAAACTGTATTCCTGAGACTATCACTGTCTCTGCTAAAATTTTGAAGACATATTCTGCAAATATGTTTGAATGGTAAATAAAAAAGAAGAGATTTTCAAAAAAAGAGAAAGAGGGTTCTTTTAGCCGAAATTTTAGACATTTTTATCATTACATTATTTATACATTCAAAAATAAATTTGATTTTATGCACAAGATGAATGTGAAAGTAATTAATGATGCATAATTAGATACGGTAGACAATCCCTTTTTATACATGGCATCATATCTGGTGTGTGAAATGTGTTTCCGTATAATTTGATTTATTTACAAATTGTTCATGTTTGTCGTGTTGATGTGGAATTATTATAAATTCCAAATACTTTACAATTCTGTTGTGTTGGGAATCAACATTAGGAAGATGCATATACTTTCAACATAAGGTAAAATATAAAGCAAATCGAACGCTTTTTTGTGTGCAGATCATGAAATGTACTGTATTTGTTGTCCCGAGCGCATTAATCTGACGCCCAAATTCTTACTTGTCTAGTGATACCTTTACAAAACATGTGTATCTATATATGTTAACTCGGCAACATGCGCCATCCCATTCTTTAAGTTTTATTAGGTGATTACACCTCCTATACCAGATTTCGCGGATATTCAACGATACCCTAATATCGAGTATTATACGCGATTTCACTAATACCCGATTTCGAAGTATTCTCTCCGACCTGTTAAAACACCTGAAATGCACTTTTTCCCTAAGCCATGGCCTTTGTTTAAGAAATGAGACTTTTAGTCTTTATCGATAAGGGTGTAGATAAATTAATATCAAAAAAGTCTAGAATAAGAACAAACTATAGTTATACAGATTAAATGTGAAAAATATTGTCTATTTGGCAAATGGGGGAGGGTGACTAGGACAAAAAACAGCACACCACACTGTACAGTGGAACAAATCAGAACAGGAGATATTCATCAAAACGGTTCACACTAAACACCCTGCTAGCCTGTTAGAGGACTAGACATTTCCTACCCTATATGTAGATAAAAGAATATTTATTCTTTCTTTTCCTTGTCATCTGCAATGTGTAACGAGTTCAGCTGACATTAAAATAAACCATAAATATAGGTAATTATCTTCCTCAAATACATATTTACCACAAGCAACAGCCTATACAGACTGTGTCATTTTATTTAAAGTAACAATATACACATGCCTTAATTATTCAGCATAATTGGGTAAACACCAGTGTACTCCATTGTAATAAGTAAAATTGTGTAATCAAGTGCTCTTACAAAAAGCAGTATCGTACAAAAAGCTGTATCGTCTCATATGAGTGAAAAATTCTTGAGAGGGACATTAAACAAAATAGAAACAAAAACAAAAAGACAATAATTTCTGAATGATTCCATTCTATTTCTGACATTTTACAATTTTTTGACCTCCTCTTTATGAAAATACCCAGGTAATAACTATTCAATTTGTTCAAACTCGAATCCCTTTTACCAGATGATTGTGTAAAAATTTTTGTCTGTTTCTGGAGAAATCAAATATAAACTGGTATGAAATTACATTACATTAGAGATGCACATAATGGACAGACCAACACATGCTGAAGTGACCTTAATCAGGAAAATCTACTTCAAATGAGCTATTCAAATATACTGTAGGAGCACAAATTTTCGTGGGGATAAAATTTCGTTGTTTTGTTATCCACAATTTGGCGTAGATTTGATTTCGCTTTTTGAATGTGCTTTCAATATATATACATAAAAATTTAGCGATGTGGGATTTAATTTCGTTGATAATTGTTAACAAGAATACACAGCCAAATATAATACGTTTACAGTATTTGAATATACATGAATTCTATGACAATAATTTTAAGGAGACTCCATATTAAAATAGCTAGCTTAACTTTACCTGGAGGAACTGTTTCTCCTGATGTCTCTTCCACATGAGGGCTGAAATAAAATGTCCAAGTTTAATTTAAGATTTTTCCACCTTTATATATAAATTCATTTAAATACTGGAGTGGAAGAATATCTGAAAGTTTGAATTACCATTATTTGACTTTTATTAAGGTACAGGTATGCAAAGAAACTCACAGCTTATTGAAGTATAAATAATTTGATTTCAAGTGAGGTAGGAATTACTTTATTTTTTTTTTTTTGAGCTACAGGTATAAGAAGTTCCTAAAACTCACGGTTTTTCTCCTTCCTCTTCGTTTTCCTCGTCCTCATTGTCGGCCCCTAGGGGAGACAATGTTTGAAGGTTAAACATGGCCAGGGGTTCACCAATAATCCCGATTCTGAAAGACAAAATAATCATCTGAGCACTTTGTCTTGAAAAAAGCAAAAATCAATCTAGTATTGAAAAAGCTTAAATGCATCTATACTAACTAGACAGTGATTCCTTATATATAACCAATCATGGCTTTGTTGTTCATAAGAAGATTTGAAAATTTTTTTCCTATATATTTCTATGTAAAAATTTGATTATCCATTGTGGCCCTGCCTTACCCCCGGGGGTCATGATTTGAACAAACTTGAATTTCCATTACCTGAGGATGCTTCCACATTAGTTTCATCTTTCCTAACACAGTGGTTCATGAGAAGAAGATTTAAAACATTCCACCAAATTTTTCACTATTTCTTAATTATTTCTCTTTGAAGAGGATGTGGCCCTTCATTTAAACAAACTTAATTAAATCCTGTTAATCTAAGGATGCTTTGTGGCAAGTTTTGTTGATATTGTGGCAAGTTTTGTTGAAATTGCCCCAGTGGTTCTGGAGAAGATGAAAATGTGAAAAGTGTACAGACAGACAGCTAGACAGACAGACGGACGCCGAACAAAATGTGATCAGAAAAATTCACTTGAGCTAAAAAAATATGATAAAAGCTTTGAGGGTTAGTGTTTTTATGAATTACATTTAGCAATGTTTTCTCTGTAGAAATTGAAGCTCTAATAGGTCTTATGATGACCTATGCTAGATATGGAAAAAGTTTTGAAAGGTCCTTTAAATTTCATTCATACTTGATGCTTTTTTTATTGAGGTAAATTTGATTTTCCTCCAAAACCTCCTCTTCTTCCTCCTCCTCTCCTCGACCGATCTTCTCCAGCTCACTGCAAAGTCAAACAACAATCAGCATAAGTACAATTACTGCAGCATTGAATCTTAGTATACCCCCTCCTTGAAAAGAGAGGGGGGGGATCATTTAGTGATCTCAATGATCACAGTACCTCTAATTTTTGCTGCATTGCAAGATATTCAATTAAAATGCTCCAATAGTCTCATTTTGGAGAGGGGTTATGGAGTTTGTATGTGTGTCAGTGTTTTTATCAAGATAATTTCAGCTTGAAAACAGGCTTCTAAACATCATCCATATTCAGACATAAAAAAATTGCCCTAAGGATTGTAAAGGTATCATGATGTTTCTATAATTCCTATTTCATGTCAGTATTGTAGGTTGAAAAAATGTTTTATTTTGCACTAATTCTCCAAAAAATCTAAGTGATTAGTATTAAAATATGTTCATATCTTATCTAAATTCCAAAAGTTAAAACTGTTTAATTATACCATTCTTTATTCCAGAAAAATTACCTTGGTGGTAAAGCATTTCTCATTTTAAACAGCCAATGGGCTTCTTCTTTCGGAGATGGCAAGACTGCTACAATAGCAGGGGATCTCTGGCTGCATGGAGAGAGAAAAAACAATTCATACATTTTTAAAACAGAACTTTTGTTAAAGATAACATGGAAAAGTATTACAGGTCTCAATGTTTCTTATTATTAGGGCACATTACTGTAGATTAATATGTGTTAAAGTTTGGAACGTACTTTAAAAGAATATAAAAATTATGGAAAGAATTAAACCTTTCAGCAATAAACAAATTCCAATTGCTATAAGTACTTACTGTATGATTGATTTGATGGCTGGCCGTTTTCTAAAACAGAAATAAAAAGGTCTGTAATTAACTTAACATTTGTCAAAATTTCTGTGAATAAATCATCTTTTTAATTTACTGGTTAAGAAAACTGTTTGCAGACATTACCTGGTAATAACAAATGTAACTATGACTGCAAGATGTATGTGTAACCAAGAGATTTATTATAACCCCTACCCCCCACCCCCCTGAAAAGCAGGAGGGTATATAGTAATCGTGATGTCTGTCTGTCCGTCTGTTATACTTTGGGGAACTCATCCGCAACTCTTCTCATACCGCTGAATGAAATTTGATGAGACTTTCACAGAATCTTTATTACATATTGCCATTATGAGATTTTACTTTTTGACTACACATTTTTTAGAATTATGTTATATTCACATTATATTTATATGGGAGGCTGGGGTATCATTAAGTGAGCTGATTGCTCACAGTACCTCTAGTTTTAAAGATAAATTTAGTATATATGCATTATTTAGTCTAGCTTCATAGAAATTTACAACTACTGTGTTATGTTTTCATCTGAAAACTACTTTTTCTGAAGATTTTGGCTGGATAAAAAAAAAAATAAATGTTTGATACAAGTTTATTACACTCATGTAAAAATTTACCATTTTGTACTTTCTTTATGACATGACCATGAATGACCCATATTTTTCCCATGTTCTTTACATCAAAACTACACATGATTATTTATCATTTGACCCCCTTTCAAATAATTACACATACACACTGACTTATAATACATTATATGTAATTAACTTAATAATGTATTATGTTGCAACAAGAAAAACTGTTGTTTATGGGTGTTCTTCATCAAAGTGTGAGTAGTACTAAGTAACCTTCACTTACGGATGAAGCCGCCTGTATTCAGCTGGCGTCAGTTTCTTCTCTTCTTTGTTTTCCTTGTCTTTTTTATCTTTCAGATCTTTCTCTGCAATCATAAAGATATAAACAGTATGACATTTAAGTTGCACTCTGTGTTTACTTTGATATAAAAATAATTAAGAATTGCAGTTGCTTGATTACAGGAAAACAAAAATATGGTGTTCTTAATATTAGCATAACATTTTTATTCAATTCATTTGTTCATCTCAAAAGTTGGAAAATGTTACCATCAGGAGCATTTTTGACTCTAATGGCAGGATTGAATGTATCAGATCTGAGCAATCTACAAAAGAAGATCCCATGAATTGATATTATTATTAATTAAATCAAAGGTGATTGTGTTGCAATTAGTACAAAGAAAATACTTTTTACAAAATCTGGGTTGTACACCTACCTTCCAACTTCTTTCCTGATATTTTCATATTCCTTCTTTTTAAATGCAATCCACACAAAGTATGCACAGAATGAATAAAGTGTCTGAAACATGAAAAAGTTTATTTTTTTTTTTACTTGTTTACAATTTATAAATCACTGAAGTATTCTCATCACTGAAAAAAAATCTCAAATAGCTGTCATTTTCTACATGATCATGGTACGAAAAAAGTCTTGTAATAATAAGTTGTGTGCATACTTGGTACATGTATATACATGTATTTGACAAATATGTAAATTCATCCAAATCATTGTAAACTATTAAGTTATAGATAATTCTTTTTTGAAGTAGTCTATATCATTTATGTTAGGTATATTGGAGATCAAGACAAAATGAGCACAAATCAAAAATAAATTGTCCAATTTTTCACTGTATACCAGTATAATACATTTAGTAATACAAACAGAGAATCTACACTAATTGATACTTCATTAACTTACCTCAAACATGCTCCTGTCTTTAAGGGTAGATGAGACTCTTGATCTTGAAAAAAGGAATAAAGAAACACATGTTCAATAAAAATACAGTCAACCCTTTTTATCTTTATCTTGGGACCAAGATTCTGCTTTGAAAGATATCAAAAAATATGAGATAATGATTGAGAGTAAAAAAAAAAAAAACACATAAAAAAAGTGATTGGAACTGCCAAATCAATCAACATTTTTCTGGTGCTCAAGACATAAGTGTTCAAAATAACAAAGTTTGAATGTACAATGTAAATGAATTGATCTATGTATGAATCAAAATAAAAGCCACGCAAGTGAGTTAAGGCTACGTATGGAGGTTTCTATGCAAAATAATTAATTTAGACCCATAATTGCCATATATACCGCAAAGAAAATGTTAAGACTTGTTTTCTAATTCATTCTTGGTACCCACGATATGCGATTGCCAGTACACATTATGACGTCATATTATGACGTAAAAACAAGTTTATAAGAAACATCAACAAAATCGCTTCGGCGCAAGGACATACCTTACTTTGTTTTACAGAAACAAGGTATAAAGAAAAGCAGAATTTTCCAAAGATTTTAGATATTGCTGCACAAATGTCGACACTGCAGTTGTTTACATTTTTCTAAGTTGAAACAGGGTAAAAATGTATAGTCCAGTGCAAGTTTAATAAAATATTTATCGATTGAAGAAGGGCATAGGATTTGTGCAGCAATTTTATTAATTGTAAGAATATTTTCCTTAATATTATACTTTATTTATTTTAGTTTAAATATGATATGCCCTTGCGCCGACGTTGTTTTGTTGATGAGTTTTATTACCTTGAATGGGAAAGAACTATGACGTCATGATATGACGTCATAATGTGCACTTGCATTAATATACTGTGGGTACTAACTATGTATAAGAAAATCAATTTGAACTTTCTCTGTACATAAAATACACAATTTATGCATTTTTATTAACTCATTTGCATAGAAATATCCATATTTAGCCTTAACTCACTTGCGCAAACTTCCAGTCACACCTTGTTATCTCATAATTGATAGATGTGCACTAACCTTTCATTACAATTTTTTGATTAAAAATCTCTCACTGTTTGAATTAAAATCCTACCCTCCACAGGCCATGTGATGAACTGTCTCCAGTCCCAGTCCTAACACCAGGAGACAGTAGGACTGACCCAACAGACGATGAGCTACCTTCAGCTTGGCACAAGCTACCTCATAAGCTTCTTTTTCTGACTTACTGGGTTCTCTAAAATCAAAGTTTATAGAATTATAATCCCTTATCTTATAATCTCAGACTGAAAATACAGATTTTAAAGATATACTCTCTGACTTAAGATTTTACTCACATGTATGTTGTTGTGTTTATTTTGTGTTCCTGGTGAAGTTTATCAAAGAAACAATGAAAATAGCTCAATAGGTGTAGTAGGAAATTATCAAATTGGTCTGTGCTGAAAAACAAAAAGAAGAAAATTAATGCAAGTATACATTGTACATTGAAAAAATTCTTAGTACCTGTTATTCAGAAATGTAGTTGTAATACAATATTTTCAAAAGAGATTTTTTATCCTTGCATGTATTATTGCTCTTGCAATTTTCACACTAAAAAGTTTTTGTGAAGGAAAAATTTTTGAAGCAATCATTGAAACTTCTACATGTATATGGTGCATTAATTTTGTTTGAGTACATCTTTTGCCATCTCCAATAACACCTAGGAATTAATTTGCAATGCAACCTAAACTCACTGAAATATTCCTTCAAATGTGTCAGACAGATTCTCTCCGTCTGATATCAGACTGTAAGCAACTCCTTTGACGTCATCCAGCGTGACTGTGGAGTGTTCTGTTGTTTGTTTTATAGGAGGATGTGGAGATTTTGTGGTGTTTCTGCGGGTTTGTCCTCTATTGTATCCACCCCGCGCCACACTGGAGGCTACCCTGAATTATACAATATAAACTGTTTAAATCTCTTGTTAAAGTCTTATATTGTTAAAAAGTTGTCCATGTTATCATTTTGAAAGAAAAAAAATCCTTTAATGATTTCTTCAAGTTTTGTCATGGGGGTTGACATTCATGCCTTCAGATAAAACATGAGCGGCGAGCCTATTTTGGAATCGGACACAGCACAAAACTGTCAGTGAAATGAAAACACTGTACTAAATTTAACTGGTAAAAAAATGACACAGAGAAAAACACTCTATGGAGACTAAAGCACAGACTTTTAGCATTTACAACATCATAAACCAAAATGATTTCATGATTTTTTTTCATTTAAAACATTTCACAAATTTTCAAGTATAATTTAATGTAGATTTAAATACATTTACTTTGCAGTTTATAATTCTGAAATTTAAATAAAATTATCAATTTTATTGCAAGTAAAATAGTGTTTGGCAGCACATGTGGGTATCAATTATCTCTTATCTAATTCTCAAATTAGTAAAGGCAATAAAATGGAAATAAAACTAGAAATCACTTTTTTCATTCATATATGAAATTATAACATTTTGAAAATAAAAAAAAATTGTCTGATATTGAAATTTTGAAATACAATAATAACAAATGGGTATAATTGGATGAAGTTCGAAGAGCAATAAAATTGCATCCAAAAAATACAAACCTATCTTTAAGCTTGTTTCCCTCCCTTGTTCTTTTCTTCCTGTCCCTCTCTGCCATTGGATTTGCACTGGGAAAATAATGACAATTTCACAGTAAAGTAGAAAATTCAAGTACAGGTATATTTAAAAACATTGCAAAAAATCTCTTTTAAAAAATGTATTTGTTGGATATGCTGAGAGCAACTTGTCTGTCAGTAAAACAGTAACTCAAAACTTTTAATGAATTTTAATTATACTTTCAGATCAATAGAATCTACACAAGTTTTTGTGTTTAAATCAAAGAAAGGTTGTGATGTTGGGACCACCTGCAGACTGTGGCCAAGTTAAGTTAATCTGTTCTCTTCAGAAGTTGAATTGCTCAAATAACTTCTTCATTGAAAATATATGCATCAATTTAGGAATTTTAATGTTCATTACATTCAGTGTGAGTACCCAGTGAAATATAGTTTCTTCAAATCTCATACTGTAACATAACTTGGTCATTAAAAATTCATGACTTAATTTATTTTGATAATAATGATTTTCATCTTTTTATTTTCATTGCGTCTAGTGACACTGTTTACCACAATGGACGCTAGTATATCATTTCATGACATGCTAATTTCGAACACTCTTGGGCACTATTGGAGGCTGGAAGAAATTATATAATCCAAAATTATTAGCCTAGCTATCCACTGTAAAAAATATAAATAATGCACAAAGTTTTACCTGACAAAATCTAATGATTTTGTTTCTTCTTTCCATATCCATTTTCCAGGAACAACCGGAAGCAGTCCCTGAAACAAAGGTAAAAAAAAATACATCTAATCCAAAATAAGTAATAGACCAATATGTTAAAATCAAAATGAAAAAAAAAAATATAATTTATAAAATATGATTTTGTTTTATATTATGATGAAGGGGCAAGTTTATAAGGATGACGATCATTTTAAAATTGTTATTGTAGTTAACAACAATGTTTTACCGATACATGTTCATTAACTCCAACAGTTTTCGACATTTTTGACTGTATAATTTTCAACTCAACCACTTTGCCTCCATATTGTACACATAGCAACAATGTTGATAAAAAAATTAAAAATATCAATCCCGATGTTTATTCCATTTTATTACAGTCGGGTTAGGTTCACGCCAGAGTTGGCGGTAAATGTAGTCTGATGATGCTGTTGACCGGGCAGAAGTGAATTAATTTTGGATTGAATAGTATGAATATCCTTTTGAATTCTCATTTAAATTAGTTTTTGACTAATGAGGTCGTCAGACTTTAAATATTTGCAAAATTAAATGAGAGAATTGGGAGTCGGCATTCAGTAGTATCGTGTAAGGCCTAGTTTTATCGAGTGCTTAAAAAAGTCGGTCACATGAATAGTAGTCTGATGAAAATGTGTTAGAGTATGTTTTATTTGCTGTTGAGAGAAAGGACAAGGTAATTATAAGCAGAAGTGAATTAATTTTGGATTAAAAAAAATTTTAAAAAATCTTAATATTTACCTAGTATGAATAAAATGTTGCTTTTCATTTTTTTATTCTCAGTTAAATTAGTTTTTGACTAATGTGCAACAAGGTCTTCATAATTGTCAAAATCTTTAATTTCTCAACTTTATGACTTTTATAATATTTCTTTAAAGACGAAATTAAATGGGAGAGCTTGCATCAATGCATGACAACTTTCACACTACAGGGCCTGTTGGGTGTATTCAGTTGTGTGTTTGTAATTCCTGTTAGGCCTCTAGTTTTATATCAGTCAGACATGCTTAAAAAATCGCCAGTCACATGAATAGAACCATATTATGCAGCAGACAAAAATCAATGTATAATGAAAATATATGGATAAAAATTATGTTTAGTTTCCAAGAAAATTGTGTTAGCGCATGTTTTATTTGCTCTCTCTCGTTGTCGTCGTTGTTGTCGTATACTTCTTCTCAAGTCTGCTACAAAGTATCCTTGGGTAAGCACATCAAAAAGGACAAGGTAATTATAACCAACCGAATAAAATCTTTTTTATTCAAAATAAAATAAATAATATGTTAAATTTTTTATTCAAATGAAATGAAATTGATTATTCAAAATTAAATTAATTCATTGAAATTAATTAAGAGTTACATATTTTTATATTTTTGATTTGGTAATGTATTGATACTGCATTCAAAAGTAGATCACTCAATCAGAAAGTTAAAAAAATTCGTAATAAAAATCGTAATATTTACCTAGCTTCCTTTCATATACATGTATGATAAAATGAACAACTTGATCCAGGGACTTTTGTTGCATTTTTATAATTTACATGCCATAAGTTCCTTACAACTTTGTAGGAGTTGTAGGATTTGTTTAAAAAAAAAGAAGATATTTATATTGTGCAACAAATGGAGCTGAACTTCATAATTGTCAAAATCTTTATTTTCTCAACTTTATGTTACAGAACGAATTTTAATTTAAAACATAATCATTGGAGCAACAGTAAAATGCAAGTCAGTACTTTTTTAGTTTGCATCAATGCATGACAACTTTCACATTACAGGGCCTGTTGGGTGTATGCTGAAAGAATTTGGTGCCGATGCTTATGTTTGTGTTTGTAATTCAACCTACTGTGACACTGTAGAAAACACGGAACCTCAAAAATCTAGCAAGGGAGGTTACTCTTTATATCAGTCAGACATCACAGGGAACCGTCTAACTCATAGTTATGGCACCGCCAGCAAACAGAAACAAGGAATAGGTAATTGATTGATATGCAGAAGTTAACAAATTGAAAAAAAATCAATGTATAATGTTTTTGTGGTATTATTCAAGATATATGTGATAAAAATTATGTTTAAACTTTGGATTTCCAAGAACTCAAGGCAGTTTTGAAAAATTTGATTTAACTTTAATGATGAACCAATTTTACCCATTTTGGTCCACAATATAATTACATCCCCACAATCCTTTGAATCCTAATTTTTTTCATACAGAAATCTTAGTGAACAAGAATACCACCTTCCAGTCCATTATTGGGTTTGGTGGAGCTTTCACAGATGCTGCTGGTATTAACATCCAGTCTCTGTCGGCTAATACACAGAGGAATCTACTGGCATCTTACTACTCCACAGATGGTGAGCTCAAAAGAAATGATACTTGATTTTCTTTATTTAATGACATTTGGGGATACTTCACACTTTATTCAAGTTAATTCTGGAGAAATATGGGTGCATGACACCATTTCACACAGCATTAGTATGTTGTCATTAAGGCAATATATTTCAGAAAACACAAAAGCAGCAGTATTAAATTATATTTTTCTGACATTTTAAGCTATTTTATTTTCACACTTTTGGACTCTTACATCAGCGGGGACATTGGTGTCACCTTAACTAATCTAGTTCTTGTCTTCATCCAGGTATTGAGTATACTCTTGGGAGAATTCCTATGGCCAGCTGTGATTTCTCAACACACCCTTATTCCTATGATGACACAGATGGAGATTTTAACCTGACCAAATTTTCCTTAGCTCAAGAGGACCTCAAATATAAGGTACAGCTCTGCACATCTACCAGTAGGGCTCAAAAGTCCTTTTTACGAATGACGAGACCATCAGACTTTGGCATGTCCAATGTACTTTGGAGTTTTACATATAAAAAAGTACATGCTCCATTAATATTGTGATACATAATCATGATTATGCTGATATTTAGAACACCATCATCAGCGTACATTTTGTCTGGAATAAGCTCTTCATTTATCTTTAAAGTACCATATCCATCTACTTTTAAAATTGTGACAGATACCAATCATACAAGCAGTGATGAAGACTTTCAAGAGAAATCTAACCTTATTTGGGAGTCCTTGGAGTGCTCCAGCGTGGATGAAGACCAACAAAAACATGACTGGAAAGGGTACCCTGATCGGAGAGCCAGGGGGACCATACTTCAAGTCCTGGGCACTGTATTTTGTGAAGTATAATTACACTTTCTTGTTTTACATGTGTTATAATAATCAGGGTCTTTCACTCCTAAGAGAGCCAGACTTTGTACTTTTCTGTATTACCAGTATGACAAAATATTTTAGAACAGTGTGCTAATATATAAATAAATGTTATCTTTTACCACTCTAAGGGTTCCAAACTTAAGCTTACTTTAAGTATTCCAAAAACATGCTCATGTAAAACAAATCAAATGATAAGGAATTGCTTTTAATGAAAACTTTTTTAAAAATAAATTTGTGGAAAATCTAAAAGAATCCTAATATGGAAAAATACTATATGTGCAATGGACATTTTTCTTGAAAATCACTTGACAACATGTACATTGAAATAATTGACAGGTAGTAAGGGAGAAATTTTAATTGTAATTATTTTCAGGTTTCTACAGGCCTATGCAGATAATGGAATTCCTATTTGGGGTCTGACAGGACAGAATGAGCCTACTGATGGAATGATTACAAACTTCCCTTTCCAAGCGATGGGCTGGACACCAGAAATGCAGAGAGACTTTATCGTTAAAGATCTAGGACCGGCTTTACAGCAGAACTCTCTAAGTGATGTGAAGCTGATGATCTTAGATGACTCGCGACTTCAGCTACCCTACTGGGCAGAACAGGTATCTTATCTTTTTGGGAAAAAATTACTGTTTACATTGCAATTAATCCTCATAATATCTGCATTTCTGATCTATTTAATGTATCCACACTAGGTTTTTAGTAGCGAAGAGGCTAGAAAGTATGTGTCAGGGATAGCAGTCCATTGGTACGAAGATTTTGTGGCCCCCACTGTGGCCCTGTCAAGCACCCACAAAGAGTTTCCAGATAAATTCATACTAGCCACAGAGGCCTGTGCTGGATCCATGCCATGGGATCCCTCCAAAGTAGCCCTAGGGAGCTGGAAAAGAGGGGAGGATTATGCTCATGATATAATTCAGGTACTGGCCATAAAAATAGTTCAATTAACACTCCCTTAAAATTCTTGTGACCAAACAATCTCAAAACATTACACGTAATTTTCATATCATGAGATCTTTGGCTTAAAGGCCGAGGTTTTCAACCAGTTGGTTTTCCCATGGTAAGTTTGGTGTGGGAGGAGCTTAATCAAAGCTTTATCATGTTGGCATTTGTGGTAAACATCAAAAGCCTGAATGTATATTCCATGGCCGTTATGGTTTCTTAATTAATTTCAGATGATTGACAGGGGTTCACAGACCAGGTTAACGTGAAGAAGGTGCTTATTTCCTCTCTCTTTAAACTTGTTATTTTTCCTTCTTTTTATTAAATAATGTATTTTTGTATTTATACATTTACATATACTGAATATTTTTTCCTTTATTTCTTACTAAGACCATTTCCATTAATCAGTGTATAAACAACACTACGCAATCCACATGCATAGATTTCTTTGAACAATGGTTGTTCCATCAGTTATGCATACAATGATATATTTTTATATATTACAATATTTAACATATTTCATTTATGTTTTTTTCATACAGATGTAAATGTAAACAATAAAATATCTTTTGTTGTTTGTTAGTATGGGAAATAACATCACAGTTATTGCAGAAAAAATTAAGTATGTGTCCTGCAACATCTGCAACATTATAATTTCAGTACTTTAACAACCAATGAAAGCATTTTATTATTTAAGTATATCAATATATATGTACTATAGAGTCTTGGAATCAAGTATAATCAAGTATATTAAAGAGGGTGACCTTGCCCTATTTTTCTGTTGCCATGGAATGTGATCGACAGTATTTTGTGTGTTTGTTCTCATTGTAACATATAATTGCATATTATTACATGCATACTTTAATTATGCAATTTATTTTATTACTGTTACACATATAGCAAAGTCTTTATGTATATTTGTATATTTATTACCAGGGCTAGGGAGCCCCTAGCTGGCACCATTTGTGAGGCTTATTATAAGGAATGGACATCTGCAAATGTCATTGCCCCCATGTCTTTTTGATGTACTTGTTTCTATCAATAAGAATTTTTAAAAAGAAAAAGTTTTTTTTTTTGCAGCATCTGTATTTTTAGGACCAACATGCACATTTTCCTCCCAAATGTTGCCACTTGATATTTGTTTTGTAGGATCTGAATAACTTTGTCTGTGGATGGACAGATTGGAATATAGCCTTAGACATGGAGGGAGGACCGAACTGGGTGAAAAACTTTGTGGACAGTCCCATTATAGTCAATGCAAAGACGGATGAATTCTATAAACAGCCAATGTTCTATGTAATGGGACATTTTCATATTTTTGCTCTTAAAATTAAGGACAGTGTAGTCTAATTGCTAAGTTCAGGTGACTCAATAGCTCAAATATACATCTCTTAAAGTTAATTTTGATCTGCTGAGGAAAGTCCCTGGTCCTGATTTTTTTCCCCCATGTTTTTTTATGTCTTGTTTCTATCAATAAGAATTTTTATTGAAGTCAAAATACAGTTTGCATGCTGAAGCATGACAGTTGGAAGTTATTGGGTTGGATAAACAAATTTTGTACTTTTTAATAATTAACAATTTTGTAAAATGAATTCTTTTTCTTTTCTTTGCCATGAACAGTAAGTTTATCCTTCCTGGATCAATGAGAATTGAACTAGTACCAAGTCAGTCGCTCCAGAAAGATATCCAGATTGTAGGCTTCCTGCGGCCAGACAAAGCCATTGTATGCGTTTTATTGAACAAGTGAGTCTATTTTAACTTTAATCTATACATGTATAAAGTTAAAAACATCTTTTATCTTGCTTAATAAATCTATTTATTGTGTGTGAAAGCATTTCAATCTTTTATTTTTCTCAATTTGATTATAAGTTTTAAAAGTTGAACTCATAATATTTTCACCATAATTTTTCACAATTGTGAGAAGTAGGACAGCTAGTGCATGCATGGACATAAATTTATTATTTTTTAAAAAAAAATCTTTATGTAGTGTGTTTAGGCCAGTGGACATAAATTCACTGCATTGAAACAGATTCATCAGATTGATTTTTAAGATGAATTTGATTTGTATTTTCATATCCTTTCAGGTCTGGTAGAAATGTCACCTTAGCACTTCGAGATCCCTCCATAGGATACATTAACGTCAACCTCAAACCTCACTCCATACAGACTTTACTGTGGTGGCCATCTTAACTACTTATAAAGTAGTCATAAGTTTATCTGTTAAAAGCTATCTGTGATATTTTGAAATGTGCAATAAGATTATTTTGAGTGGTGTTTATGAATGATTTGTTTTTTTATCAACATTGACATACATGTTAACCTATTGTGATGAAAAATAGGGAGATTCAGACCTCAAAAGCGGAAGCATTGTGCGCGTGTTGTTTAACACTTGAATTATTGATATCTTTCATGTAATATACATGTATATTATAAGCCTTAAATGAAATCAGGTACCTACACTAATTAATCTTAAATATCAACAGCAAAGAAGAAGACAGAAACACCTTAAGTTTGACATAAATTGTACAAATTCAAATATTTTTCATGCTCATCATTTTGCTTGGATTGGCTGCTTTACTTAGCCTTTTGAAGAGTGATCTTTGCTGATATAGCCTAGAAGCAATAATTCTGAATGTTCATTCAGTTTTCAAACAAAACAAATGATGACATGGTTTAATCTAGATCTAAAACAAGTTCCTATCTTTCGTTATATAAATCAGATTTCCCGCGATGATCGAAAACGAAAGTAGAGATGTGCAACATGGCTTGGTCAATCGAGTGATTTCTATTGACTTTATTGATAAAGTTGTGAGCTTCTGTGCTTTTAAAGACGATGTCAAATGTTTTCATCTAATTCTTAAAAGCTGTATCTCCTTTTTCATGGCAGGGATGTTGATTAATTTATCGTAACCAATGTAATCACTGGTAGTCTTGTTTTGTTGTCGTAGTCATATCCGTGCTTGAAATCTATGTACAAAAAAACGTTTGTATGATTGCGAGTCAAATCACGCGATATCTAGCGAGATTTTATGAGAGTGGCTTCTAAAATGGATACCCAAGCGAACCAAAAAAACTTTAGATGCAGTTTTTGTAGAAAAGCGGTAGATTTCTGAATTAAATCGGTAGGCGGGAGATGGAGTGAAAAAGCGGTAGTCTCCCGCCTAAATCGGGAGAGTTAACATGTATGACATTGAGATAAAATTATATGTAAACAGCATCATTTCATACAATGTCATAAAAAAGGTGTGCAATGCACCATGCACCTTATAGTTTTAGCAATTACATATCTTAGGTACTTTTCTGATTTACCCATAATTTTTTTACACCCCACGCCCCAGATACACTATATTGCAATTTAAATGCACAATTTCTCATTTTCCAGACATTTCACTATTTTGATTTTAAATGAAGCTCAGATACTTGAGCGATAGTCCATGCATAAATACTATTTTCAAGCATCCAGTATGTAACAGTGAGTAGCATGCCTATGTGGACAAATACTAATACTGAGATGGGCAAATGAGAAAGTTATGGAAATTAATTTTCACTAATACTTCTACTACAGTTGTTTATCTATGTGTGTATGTTGAGATTATATTTAGGTTCATGCATGTATTTCTTGCACCAAGTACATTGATGTGTAATTTTTTACATAAAATTCACTTTTTTCAGCATTGTAAGAAAATCTCAAATTTTTAATATGTACAAATTATAAAAAAATGATGGGAACATGTGTTTTTGGGGAGGTTTGTCTGTAGTTCTTAAATATCCTGTACATGTACTTTATCGACTTAGAAAAATTCCAATTATTTGCAGTTTCCATTCACTTTCTTTGCAGAGGTTGCACATATTGAAATGAAATTTGGTATACAGATTTATCTTAAGAATATCTTTGTCAATTTCTGTTTTGGGTTCAATCGAGCCATTTTGGATAGATTTAAGCCCCTGGGACTATGAAAAATTCCAATTATTTGCAGTTTCCATTCATTTTCTTTGCAGAGGTTGCACATACGGAAATGAAATGGATACGATCCTAGGCATTTCTGACAGATTTATTTCCCTTGGACTTTGAAACATTCCAATAATTTGAGGCAAGGGGAAATAAAGTGTTTAACAAACATCTCTTGTTTGTTTTTAGCTCACCTGAGCCGAAGGCTCAAGTGAGCTTTTCTGATAACATTTTGTCCGTCGTCCGTCCGTCTGTCTGTCCGTCCGTCTGTCTGTCCGTCTGTAAACTTTTCACATTTTCGACTTCTTCTCAAGAACCACTGGGCCAATTTTAACCAAACTTGGTACAAAGCATCATTGGGTAAAGGGGAGTTTAAATTGTTAAAATAAAGGGACATATCCCCTCGCAAGGGGAGATACTCAAGAAAATACAAAAATAGGGTTGGGTCATTTAAAAATCTTCTTCTCAAGAACCACTGGGCCAGTAAAGCTGAAACTTATGTGAAAGCATCCTGGTATAATGTAGATTCTAAATTGTTCAAATCATGACCCCCGGGGGAAAGGCGGGGCCACAATGGGGAATCAAAATTTTATATAGAAATATAATCTTTGAAAATCTTCTTCTCAAGAACCACTGGGCCAGAAAAGCTGAAACTTATGTGGAAGCATATGGTATAGTGTAGATTCTAAATTGCTCACATCATGACCCCCGGGGGAAGGGCGGGGCCACAATGGGGTATCAAAGTTTTAAATAGAAATATATAGGAAAAAATCTTTGAAAATCTCCTTCTCAAGAACCACTGTGCCAGAAAAGCTGAAACTTTTTAAGCATCCTATATAATGTAGATTCTAAATTGTTCAAATCATGACCCCCGGGGGAACATGTGCCACAATGGGGAATCAAATTTTTATATAGAAATATAAAGGAAAAATCTTTGAAAATCTTCTTCTCAAGAACCACTGGGCCAGAAAAGCTGAAACTAATGTGGAAGCATCCTGGTATAATGTAGATTCTAAATTGTTCACATCATGACCCCCGGGGGAAGGGCGGGGTCACAATGGGGTATCAAAGTTTTACATAGAAATATATAGGAAAATCTTTGAAAAATTTTCTTCTCAAGAACCACTGGGCCAGAAAAAGTGAAGGTTATGTGGAAGCATTCTGGGGTAGTGTAAATTCTAAATTGTAGGAATCATGACCCCCGGGGGAAGGGCGGGGCCATTATAGGGAATCAAAGTTTTACATAGAATTATATAGGAAAAATCTGTGAAAATCTTCTTCTTAGGAACCACTTGGCAAAAAAAGCTGTAACATATGTGCCCATGGAAGGATCATGGGGTAGTGTTGATTTCAAAATGTCTAAATTATGATCAGAGGGGTAGGGTGGGGATGTATTATGTATAACAAGGGGGAAATCTGGTAAAGAACAGAATGGTCAAAGCTTCTCAGGTGAGCGATGTGGCCCATGGGCCTCTTGTTTTTTTTGCTATTTAGAGAGAAAATGAGTACATGTGCATGTGTTGTGCTTATGAGGTTTACATAGCTTCTGTGGGAAAGAAAGTACAGGCAAATGCACCTGAGATTACCAAATTCCGACCTCCCCCCAAGAGATTTAGTTCACCCAGAGATTTACAGGCCAAAAAAGAGCTTTTAAATTTTTATCAAGATAAATGATTTCAATAGTACATATGTCAACTCTAATCATATATAATAATTAGAAGGCAATCTATCACCAGAATTTTGGTGCTTGCAATCAAATTTTGCAATGCATGTGGTTTACATGTACATGACAATTTTACAACTTTTTAAAATCATGCCCTAGTATCACATGCACTGTTCCACTTAAATTTGAACTTCAGCAATTGTGTCAGACAAGTTTTGACCTTGACCTTGTCAAAAAAGTTTGTAAAGGTCAAAACTGACCTTCAGCCCCCCAAAACAAACTGCTAAATCTAAACTTGCTTTGATTCATTCACTCATGAGTTTCAAGTCTTTGCCAACAAACTGACAAAATCCTGCTAAAATACCTGGCTGCATTGGCGCCTTTGTTAAAGAAAAAATAAGATTGAACTAAATTAAATGTTCAAAACAATTTATTATTATAAAGGACGGAGACTTGAATGTAAAAACAATAAACATCAAATACAATAATTCTGAAATAAACAACTTCAACAATAAAACTAGAATAGCTGATCTAAATGTAGAGATATGAGCAAAAATATCTGGGAAAAAAAAAATCACATATCTATACACTGACATTCTATATCTTGGTCATGGTTGCAAATGTAAAGGCATTCAATATTTCAAACTATGTATATTAATTTTAATATGTTATTCAACAACCACATTCAGATTTAATAAACTTCAATCCTTACTACAGTTAGTCTTCAGTAATTAAATTCAGTGATTTGAGGTACATGTGATGAAAATCCTAAAAAGTATTAACAATTAATGTCAGTCTACCGTTTAAATCTTCACAGTACATGGATTTCAAGTTTAAATTGACAGTTTGTGTCTGTGATTTCAATTAATCACAAAAATTACAGTTCATCAAAATAATTTTTCTTTCAGTATATATGAATACTATAAGTGCATGAATATATTTTATACCCTGGAAAATTTTTGAATATCAATTATGAATAAATTCTTTCGTTAAGTACATGACCAAAAATTAATAGTACAATATATTAATACCTTATCATCATCCTGATTTTGATGGAAAATTAAGAACATGTGAAACAAAGTTTGAACTTATTTTCCATAACTTAAGTTTTATTTCAAATAAACTTTTGAGGCTTAAAAACAAAGTTCAATGGAAGAACATGGGGATATTCACCAATTATATAATTTCAAAACAGCATGTAATGGTCAATTTAGATCCTGAAAAATAAACGAAGAGTGACTAAGTTTTAAAGTATGTTGCATATGTCTGTAAGATCTAAGAGTCATTTTCATCTGCAAAGCAAAATTTTACCCTGAATAAATGATTCCTTACTGAAGTCGCAAACAGATGACTGTGTTTATCTGAGAGTAAGGTGTTAAACTGTTTCTGTTTTTAAGTCAAGGCATTAAGTATTTACATTATGACAAAACAACACTTAGTTAACACTTTCCATGTGTCAATGCTAAAAACCTCTAATGAACTTTGTCAATAATGTAACCAAGAAATGTAAAAAAAAAAAATCAACTTAATAATCTGCCATGCACACAGCCATCCCCTCCCACCCCCTGTTAGTCTGTTACCATTAAATTATCATATTAAAAGTAGGGATATTTTGTCTAAATACCAACACAATAAATAAACTGCAATATCCATTTGAAAATATAAGGTGCATAAAAAGCTTAATTTCTTGTAT